TTTATTCTACAGTCTCCTCTTGCGTTTTCCTCACGTAGAGTGCTCCGCATGGACGTGTAGGAATCTGAGAGTTCTATCGTAAACTGCTGCGCTTGTTAGTGATTTGCCCCGCTCGTCGTACCTGCGGATGTCTTATCACTCTGCGCCGCTTTCACTCTAGCTGCATCTTGATCGCTTGGGATTTCTTTCCTTGTCTGAGTGGAAATAATTTTATTGTTATCCGCGCTATAGCTGCAGCTTAACAATTCTGAGTCACATGTATCTACTGTCAAAGGAAGAAACCGATTCAAAACGTCTTTAGGCTCAGTCGGTCGATGCGGTCCCATTGGCCTCTTTAAAAACCCTCAAGGAGTTTTTCCCTTTCCTATTTCGTCATCTTTTATAAGAACTCTCGGACATCAAACAGAGGCTTCCTTTTTTGTGCGTCTTTGCACTCAAAGTATCTACTTTCAGACTTTTTCATCAATTTTGGGTGTGACAAAAGTTAGTTGTGCTTTGTGTGATAAGTGCTTTATTGCAGCTTGGATGTTGGTAAAGTATATGCTTTTGTGTGAAATGCGGTTGGATTTCGAGCTAATTCAATATAATGATGACATGCTGTTAAAACCGAAAATGGCTTGACGCGTGCATTCAAAAACCATGATGATGTCAATGCATATGCATTGTCGTAGTATATCGTATCGTATGTAATGCCAGATTTTCATATCTAAACCGTGGCTGAAGCTATTAAGCTAGTATACACGTCGAAAAAAATCAAAAGGCGAAAAAAGCCTGAAGCCTGCGCAGCGCAGAAAAGTGAAGAATGGACTTTGAAGCCAGTGGAGAAGGGAAATGGCAAGTATATGTATCATGGTTCGTAAATCAAGCATGAGCGGTCGTGAGTCGTGAAAATCAAGAAATCAAAAACCCGCATGAAAGTGACAGACTAGAAACAAAAGCAAAAGCAAGCAAGCGACAAGTAAACAGGACGAGTAAAAGAGCGTGAACGGGCGACACTGTGATGAACACCATGTCAAACCCAAAGAAAGAACGAACGTGATTAAGCTAAGATTAAGATAAACGAAAAAAACATACTAAAAATCGATGCATAGGTATAATAGTGAGATATGGAGTATGAGGAGCCTTTGCCAGTGGCTCGATGAAAAGAGATGTGCTTGTGTTGAAGGGAATATGGTAGAAGTGGAAAATGGTAGAATGGATGTGTCCTGATTCCTATTCCTGGTCCGTATGATTAAAAAAATGTCCTAGGGCATATTATAATGCCGCGACGTTAACGAAAAACGATGTGATGGGTTGGATGCGAAGAGAGATGGAGAGGGAGGGGATGGGTGGGAGGAGGCGCGTCAGTCAATCATGAGCCGCTTTTCATCTGCTCTCCTCGGCGACACCTCATTCACCCCGATGCGCATCAGTTTATTCCGTATCTTCCCCTTCTCCCCTTCTCCTTTATCCCTCTCGCCTTTCTCTCTCTCCCTCTCCCCCACCCTCCGTCCCCCCTCCCCATTCGCAAACGGCTCCGTCGACTTCGGTCTCGCATGATCATAATCCACACGCGACTTCAGCCTAGGCTCCCCATGTCCATTCCCATTCCCATTCCCACTCCCATTTCCATTCCCCATCACATTCCCCGTCTTCCCCATCCGCGGCGACAAAGAAAGAAAACCTCGTAAACCCGACGATGGCGACTTCTCCTTGCTTTTTTGCTTCTCCTTCCCTTTCTCCTTCCCCCTGTCCTTTTCCTTCTCCTTGGCACCACCATTGGAAGACTTCTTCGCAGCGCCTTTAGCATCAATGACCACAGTCGCTTTAGCAGCTGCCGCCATCGACGAGGCGTGTCCCTGTCCCTGTCCTCCCTGCCCCTTCGGAACCCGCCCATTCGCAGCAGGCGACGGCGAGTGCGTCCTCGAATGCGTATGCGACTGCCCACCATGCTCCTCAACATTCGCCCTCGCCTCTACATTCACCAACACCCACCCATGCCCCGTCCCCGTGCTACACCCGCTGGCTCCTTTCGTAGGTGAACGTGGGGGCTGTTGTGGTTGCTGCTGTTGCGGTTGTTGTGGTTGGTGCTGCGGTTGTTGATGTTGGTGCTGCAAGTGTGAGTGTGGGTACTGATACTGCTCGCTCGAACCAAACGTCTGATTCGTCCCCGCCCTAGACCTGTCAAAAGTCGACTTCGTCGGCGACACCCCCGGCGACCTCATCATCCCCACAAACCCAGCTTCGCTCCTCCTCGCCCCCTCCCCACTCTCGCACACTACCTCAGGCGAAGCAACGCGCGCATCCACGTCCTGCAGCGCTCTGTCCGTGTACCTTTCCGCCCCTGGGACGTCGTGTTTGGGGCGTTTGGGGTTGGTGGGCGGGGAGGGTGTTCTATCTCTGTCACCCTTGTTGACTTTAGAGGCATCGGGATGAGGCGATGGAGAGGAGGCCCAGCCCCCCGGAAACGCAGGCGTCGTCGTCGAAGTCCGATGCAACCCCTGTCCCTGACCCTGCCCCATCCCCGCCTCCTTCGCCCCCACCCCCGTTCCCGTCCACTTGATAGGAATCTCACACGTCGCATCCGTCCTCGCCGAAAACGCCGAAACCCTCATATCCCCCTCGTCCGCCCCAAACGCCCCCGCGCTCAACAGCATCCCCGCCTCTTCGTGTCGTGGTGGTGGCGATGCGGCAGCCGAGGGGGGCGAGGCATCCCGTGAGGTCGTCGACTGTCGTGCGTGAGGCGGCATCGAATCGAGGCTTTGTGAGGTGTGGTGCATTGATTGCGTGAGGGACATCCGCAGGCGCGAGGCTGGTCTGAAGGCGCTGAGCCGGCGCTGGAAGGAGGGCGAACGTGAGCGGGCTCTGGCATTCCCGTTCTGGAACGTGGGGTACCGCGAATCGTTCACGTCAATCGTCTGCTGCTCAAACACCTCGTCGTCGTCGTCCATCTCCGCAGCAGCAGGCGTGGACGTCGCATAAGCGAGGTGGGAGGAGAAGCGCCGGCGGGCGGAGGCTGCCATGGTGCCTATGCCTGTCATGTTCTCGACGGGGCTGGGAATGGTGCTGGGGAGGTCGGCGTTGAAGTGGTCGTGTTGCTCTCCCTCTCCGTCTTCGTCCTCTTCCTCACGTGCGTCGAGGTCGACAGAGACGGGGAGCTGGGCTCTGGGCGCTGGTTTGCGCAGCGCTGCGGGGCCTGGGGAGGAGAGACCAGAGGTGGTGATGAGGGCTGGTGGCTTGATCTTCTCCGTCGGTGCCCGCGAGAGGAAGTGGGGTGTGTGTGATGGGGCAAAGGGGCCCTGCTGGTCGTGGTAGGGGGCCGAGGGCGCTGTGACCATCCTCCGATGCGATGGCTGGAGGCCTTTCTCCGGCGTGTAGACGGGAGGCTCCGGTATAGAGAGGGGGTTCGGTTTGAGCTCTGGGTAGGAACCGGAATGGCTCATGGTAGCGATGGGAGACTCTGGCCAGCATTGTTGGTCTGGGATATCGGAAGAGCCTGCGCCTGTGAATATCCAGAGGTCCTTGACGCGGGAGCGGTTTGAGAGGGAGAGGGATGCGACGAGGGAAAAGGCGTGTGTGTCGAGGGAGGAGAGGAGGGAGAGGATGTGGCGGAGGGAGTCAGTTGCAAAGGTGTCTTCCTGGAACCCTGGAGTAGCATAGGTCAATATAGGACAAGGGAAGGGGCGAGAAGGACGGACATTTGTAGCCCTTGAGCTTGAATTCGTATGACGCGTCACCTACTTTTTTCTCTGAGACGACGCCACGAGGCCAAGAGGCCCTGACTGCCTGTAGGATGGCGGGGGTGGAGTGGAGGGGGGGGTATATGACACGAAGTATTTTAGCAGAGACGAAGGAGATGGCAAAGGGGACACGTTTCTCGGGTTTAGAGCCAGTCTGATGGGATATGTTGCTCCCTGAGCCAGCAGGGATGGGATACATGGAATGGGGCGGGGAGGGAGTGGGAGAGGAGGGCCTTGAGAAGGCGATTGCGAGACGATCGTCGTGCTCACGGCCATAGTCGATGGTGGAGACATAGGAGTAGCCGTGTCTGTATATGGTTGCAAGGATGTCGACGATGATGCGCTCTGTCTTTACGCTCTTTGGGGACGCCCATGGTTTTGCGTCGAGGGTGAACTCGCAGAGGTTCTGAGCGGAGTCCTGGCGGAATGCGACGGAGAGATAGAAGTGGTCAAAGAGGACGCGGAGGGCGTCGATGAGGGGGACGGGGAAGGAATAGAGTCTGATGAGGCTGGATGCAGAGAAAGCGAGGAGACAGAAAGCGTTTGTTGTTCGTTGGTCGCGGATGAACTCTTTCCTGGGCATAAAGCCAGACTCTACGGGAGAGTGTGGCTGCATGATGGATAGGAAGCAACTCTCCAGCCTTATCCTCACGCAAACATCACTGCAATAGTCCGTGTCATGTCACACCACAGCCACACGACACCATGTCCTCAGGGATCAGGGAAATTCACACACAGCCGTATAAGGCATTGGAATCTGTAATAGAAAAGAGGGAAAAGAACAGTGTACGGTACATGGCAGCGAACGTGAGGGTTATATAGACTCGACAGAATTCCAGAGAGGTAGCAATGATGTAGCGTGATGTCGCATGACGTCAACTCAAGTTGTGTGTTGTCGGTACAAGGACATCGATGAATAACCTGTGATGTCACAGCACAGCCACACCCGACTTTGAGCTGCTCGTCTCCTCTGTCTGCTCTCGCTGGCGCACCCTCGCCATCACCCACCACGACAGCCACCCATCCTTTGCCTACATCCACAGATCACAGCGGGGTGTAGTGTGTTTGTACACTTTTCAATGTTTTGACGCTTCCAAATGCTTTGCTTACACTCGACGTTTACTCCCACTCCATGTCATCATGACTAGTCCATGTGATTTCCTCCCACCAACGGCATATAGATGCTTCCCTTCTTGAATACCCTACTTGGCCACGCCTGCTAGAGTTGACTCTCGCTACGTTGAAGTTGTCAAAGGAGCTCGATATGACGTCTAAATAACAAGAAGGCATAACACAAGGTTCTATACATTATCCAAAGCACAAAAAATCCAATACAAACCCTTATTTTCGTCAAGAGTTAAGAGTTTGAGTATGCATCTACATGGCATCGTATCGTAGCGTGTGTAGGAAATGCGAGAAGGAGGGAGGGACGTATTGAGTGTCTCAAGTTATATAGTTTAATCCAAATCAAGTGAAAATATAAGCCCGAGCGTCGAGCATTCAGACATCAGACGGAATCACCACATGCACCGGCCCTTCTCCCATATCCCTCCTCTTCCCTTCCCGCTTCGCAGTGCTGTCATATGAATCACACACACCAACCCCCTCCAAATCCGCGTCGATGGATCTCAACGAGATCGACTCTACACCCTCCGCGCCACCACTCCCACCGTCCTCTTTCTCGCCCCTCCTCACCTGCCTCACCTCCCCACCCCCCTCCCTCCACCTCGACGCCTCCGGCTTCGAACCCGGCCCCGAAGGCCCCGCCACACCCCACCCCATCGACAGCTCCGGGTCACGCATCACATTCCCCACCGGATCTCCCCCAAACCCGTCCATCCCCACATCCATCTCCACATCCGACTCCGTGCGCACAGTGGCGGCGTGGAACGACGGGAGCTGCCCCTTGTCGTGCCCGTGTGCATACCCACCGCGAGCGCCCTTGCGGCGGGTGCGGGGTTCGTGCGGGTTCCCGCCATCGGCGTCCCCCAGACCGTGCTCGTCCCGCGATAGCGAGACGAGGTGGCGCTGGCTCCATGCGCGGAGGTGGAGGAGGAGGCGGGCGGAGAGGAGGCCTGAGATGCTGGTTGGGGGCGAGGTGAGCTAGGGTAGTGCTAATGACGACAAGGGGACTGGCGGACGTACGGGAGAGTGAGCGCGTTGAGCAGGCTTCCAAAAAAGCCGGTCTGTCAGGGGGATCGAATAAAGAAAGGGGAGGGCGCAAGGGAGATCAGCGAGCGGCGAATGGAAAAGGCGGGGTTAATGAGCATGGACATAAACTAAAGTTAGAGTGGGTGAGAAAGACGTACGGGTTCTTCCTGCAGATCACCGTCATCAGCATCAGGTCGCCGTGCCAAACAGAGAAAAATAGCTATGAGGCACTCACAAAGTTTAAAACGACAGCTGTGAACGTGAATATGAACACACCGCTGTCATCGCCATTGACGTCATTAGCATTAGGTCACGGGACGCGGGGAAGAAGGTTACTCACCAAAAGTACAATAGACCTATCCACAGCGCCCATAGCGTTAGAAAGTAGATGGTAGGCGGTGGGATGCACACACCTTCTTTGAGCATAAAATACATGATATTACTCTCCTGGGGACGACGCCCGTTTTTCTTCAGCATCTGCAGGGCTTGCATGCATCGAACGATGGTGATGACCGTTGCGGTGCATTCGAAGATGCAGACGAGGATGGATAGCGAGGTGTTGGCTGTTTGTAGATTAAGTGTTTAGCCTCGGTTCTCGATAGTGTCCAAGAGAGAAAATGAACGACGTACATCTGTCAAGGTTAAGAAAGTGTCAGCATAAAGTCAAACCGGTAAAAAAACAAAAATGAACTTACATATGGCTACTAGGTGAACTCGGCCCCGAACACTTGACGCCGGTGACGTGCCACTAACAACAAAGCCTTGGTGAGTCTCATTCATCACCGCCCGCACTCGTATGAACGGGGAGAAAATAAACAAATAAAAAAGGACGATACCCACAAAATCCAACCCAATACACGCCGTCGCTAGAGATCCGAGCGCGAAGAGGACCGCTTTGCTTCGACTGCAGACCGCCCAAGTGCGCGCTGCGAAGATGGCTGTGGAGTGGGGGTGGGTGAAAGAAGTGAGGAAAGGAGAGGAGGACTTACCGAGGACGGCCGCTCGACCGACTATACTCAGATAGCCGTTGACTGTATACCAAACGTTGCAACTACGGAGCTACATGGTCAGACGCGACAAGTGCTGAGAAACCAAAAATGAAAAAGCCGCACTAAACAAAGGAGAGGGGGAAGACATCGTCAACATAGTCCAAAGCAAAGTAAGGATCTCGTCACCTCTTTGAGGACATGCGCAATAGCCAGTAGATAGAGCACATTCGCCAGCAACGCGTATCGACAGCACACGTAGAGGACCGTTGATGTTTTGAATTTTGCACCCCAGATGTACTTCACCTCTGCGGGAAAGGTGAGGTAGTAGTCGTAGTAGAGGAGAGCTGCGGTCAGATATAAGCGCGTCGTTCGAACGGGTGGGGAGGGTAGAGAACAAACTGACCGATGCTGGAGTATTGGATACAAAACTGTATGAAGCTTGGATGAAACCCGTCAGCGATGCCTGAAACTCAGAGGCTTGCAATATCGAAGAGAAACGCACTGAGTATTAGACATGGGAGATACCTGGGTGGTTAGAGCGCGGCATAGAGCCTTTTTACTCCAGACGCTATATGAACGAGCGCTTTACTAGAGATAACTTTAAGTACATAAAAGGACATGCATTTGCAAAGAGCTCATGATAGCCATACTGGGCAAGGCGCTATAGGGGAGAAATGCGAGTGGGCCGGGTTGCCGGGATGTCTCCACCGGTGACATGCTGAGAAGATCATGTCGTGTTTGGACTCGTGAACTCTACTTACAGCTGTGCCATCTTCTGATGAGACTTGGCCATGGCTCTTTGTAGAAGTGGAAGAGACAACTTCTTGAAATATGTATCACTGGACATTGGCAACCGTTCGCATCTATCTACGTCTCGTCAAATCGTCGCAGAGGATCATTGGCATTGCTTTGGCTGGCGTCCGTATTGAGCTCACGAATGGCGAGAAGGAGATATACAAGTCGATGGTGTACCCACGAGCGATGCACGAAATGGACTCTGTGTGGCTTCGTGGAGAGGGGGCTGTGTCTGAAAGCAGAGAATTTCAAAGATGTGCACAGTGAGCGAGTGAGATATCATCATCCAAAAAGCTCTTTGACCCACCTAGCTCCAACGCATGACTTGTTTCAGTAACATCAAAGATGTAATTCGGGAACAAACCATCATCGATGCATGCATTGGTCTGGAGTACAAGTAAGGAACGTAGTTAGCGCCCACAACTATCATCTTGATCAGAGACGTACGTAATTTGGGTAGTGTCAGTCACATCTTCCTAACCTCAGACCACAACTTGGACTGTTCAACTCGTCGATGGTGCATATACCAGTATGCTTAAGTTGCTGTTCGGCTGCTAGACGCTCCTCACTCTATCCTCGGAACCGCGCATCAGCCCTACCATCTTCCATCTTCCCACAGGATTGCAAAACCAAGCTCCCCGCTGGAAACAAAATCGAAGATGAATGGAATCAATGATCCACCGGCATCGCATGATCTATGAATTGGTCACGATCATCTTACAGTAAAACCTTACTCTACAGCAGTCATTTTCCCTCCACTTCCAGGACGTTTACCTGGCAAGCCCCCTCAGAATCTTTCCTTCACACAGCCTCATCTTTGACTTTCCACCGCCTCTAATAATAGTCTCTGCCACATTCTGTCAGTTCTTCTCTGTCTGTTACGCTAGCCTCCTCTGATTTGCTGCTGACAATCGCGTTCATATCGCTGTCATGGTAAATGAAATCCCGTGGCAGGAACCGAGTTGACGCCGATGGAACGATCATGGCCATAGCCGCCCAAAGGTCTGTGGGGGACGTTTGTACTATCCATCTCTCGAGTTACATGGCCTGCGTGAGACATCAATAACTTGAATAAGTGTAGTGCACGCTTTTTGCATTCTGCATCAGGCTTCTAAACACAAAAACGACAAGGCGGTGTAGTCGCGTCCGTCTCAATCAGTCTATCGAGTTGCCTAGTGATTCCGAATCAGCTATTAACTATCATTCTGATGACCAGAGTCGAACAAAAGTCGAAAGAGACGACCGAGATCCGGAAGGTGCCAACGCCCGCCATCATCATCATCATGGAACCATGTGCTTTGAGGGCTGGGGCTGTTCATTGATAGAGATTTCTGCGAACAGGGTTGCCAGAGATGGGTGTTGGACGGGAGTTCCCATCGTAAGCAGTGCTCGATGCTTATCATCCAGCCATGTGTGGCTTTTTCATAAGTTGTCGACCATGCTGATTATGATTGCCCGTCGCAGCAACGGTTTCTCTGCCTTCTTCAGATTTTGCTCCTTCTGCCTATACGTTTCAGCCGGAAGCTCAGCCTCAAAATTCATCAAGGTGTTGCTGCAAAGACGCTAGGATACCCATCTCTCCTTGCAATGTACGCCATCTTTCACGATCGTAGTGTGGCATAGCTTGCAAACGGGAGCAAATCGTTTTCGAAACCGGTGCTGCTACAAGACCATATGAAGATATACTCCTGCGACTCATCGAAATTGGAGAGTCGAGTCCGTGGCATTCATCGAGGTATGGATACTACAAACCTGGCGAAACCTAACATCGATACGCAGGTCCTTTTTATAAAGTTATAATGTATACTCTCCAATGTCATCTTCATGTTAAGCAGCCACCTTTGATTAATTCGATTGGTAGATCAGTAGCAACGGCATTTCTTCGATCGATGTACTGTGTGGTGCTAAATCTTGTTTTGTTCTAGGTAAAAATACATAAGATACCCACGACTGTTGTCAGCTATTCTTGGAAGAGGAGAAACACGCTCGTCATCCGGCTTAGCTCAATATGAATGTGGTTTCCCCGACGCGAGGCTGAGACTTGGTGCGGAAGTTGTCTACTGCTCCGCCAATAGCCATCGTGGGTATCTCGCTATTTCAGAATAGCGTTTGCTATCATCATAAATCCTCTTTGAAGCAAGCCCCTGCGAGGAGCGATTCTAGACGCAGCGCAGGCTGTCTATGTCGTTTATACCTGGTTCGAGGCCATTGGTCTTAACCTTGCTTCTGAGAGTTTCTTGGAGAATTTTCCGTTCTGGCCGGCGTCCATCACGACTCGCACACCGCCTGAAACCACGTCAACAGGGGATGCTCGAAATGCAGAGACTTCAGACTCACATCGACTCAAACATACGACACTTTCTTGTCAGGTTTCACTGCCTGAGATCTGAGAGACATTATCGAAAGGTGATGCAAATGTCACTGTCGGCCAACAAGCAGACCTTGCTCGATTCCAATGACAGCTCGACAGTAGACGTCGCATCAAGCTTTGCGGCTTCCGTCCACCAATTCTAGTCCCATCTTCTGCATGACGTTGTATCCATGTGGTGCAATTGTAGGTAGTGTGAACAGGGTAGTCGTAGCACCTACTATGTTAGGTCTTGTGGTCAGTATGGGGTGCGTGCCAGCTCACCTGTTCTCCCTCAGAAGCACTAGAATGATCATTTGGGTGTGTCCTGAGATCGCAGCTTGGCGTGCCTGCGGGTGTTTTCTGTCACTGTTAGTACTTGATGCAAAGCGTCAGATCAGAATTGTCGGACCGCACAAGTTAGACTTTCTTTCGTATAAACGCTTTGTTTGCATGATTCTGGCAGTGCCATACTACTAGTTTGAGGTACACGAGGGGTACAGGTTGCCAGCACATATATCTCATCTTACTTTTCCGGCCAAGTCGGATTTTGTGAGGCAGATTCGCTGAGCTTGAGTGAATCGATATCAGGCGTGCGAAGCAGCGGCAGGTCACACTGGCTTTTGCTCATATGGACTTGACCTCGCCCCGTGCCACCGCGCTGGCATATGTCAAAAGTCACTATTGCAGTCATGTTATCCATCATCCATCATCGTTTCGTCCTAGTTCCGTCAAATGGCCTTGATAGATGAAGATTCCTGCGCCAGACGTCTCTGATATGACATGTCCTGAAAAACCTCTGAATGTGCGACTGCACAAAGGGGCCCGGTCCGTTGATGTATGCGATTGCACGATATCGATCGCATATTTGAAGCTGGCCTCATCGCGAGGCACACGGGCACGTTGTTCAAATGACAGTGAGAGGCTTGCGTATAGTCTAGCAATTGTGCGAGTCATGTGTCTGCAAAAAGGTTCTGTACGCATTTGAGACCGTCATTCCTTGTAGCACTTACAAGGGCTTCTTTTGAGAAAACAATGTGGACTGCATCCTTCTAGGATGAGATGAGGGAAATGGCGACTAGTCTGGCATCCTTTTTGTTGTGCATTAGGTACCGATGGTCTCGTGACGGATGGCTATGATAAAGACCGAATTCGAATTCTGATATGATATGTCTTACTTTGTGTCTTTTTAGGTCCTATTTCCATTCTGTTTGTCTGAGCTAGGGTGGCATTTAATTAGCGAGACTCTGGTGGGCCAATCGTGGTCCCCTGAGCTGGACCTGCCACGGGAGAAACACGCAGGCTGTCTATACATAGCATCTGGACCATGAGCTACCATCCTGCTACCATGGATCCTGCCATCATGTTCGCAGTGTGGTCCACCCGGTAAGCAACCGTATATCGCCTTTCTGGATCTGTACCTGGCTCTCACCTGCTTCTCTCTTTCACTTCCCCAGATTATGCCTGTGCCGTTGTCCGTCTTGCGGCATATAGCATGCAGGCTTTCCGCCCGCCGCGCCTTTTCATGCCGAACCTTTCGTTTCACATATAAATCCTTGTCATGGAATCCTCACATTCACAAAAAAGTCCCTGGTTCGCCTCAAGTGGCCCTTGGTTTCAGCGATGCGTTCAATAGCCTTCATCGCTCCCCTCGCTATTTTGCAGGGGGCAGCTGCTCAGCAAATTTACGACATAGTATGTGCCCATCGTGCTCGCTGGTTTATATGTATGGCTGACGCGATATATTGTGTCCTTTTTGTAGTGGCAAACGACCTGGGACAGAAGTAACCTCTTTACTTACTTTCAGCCCACCCCCGACCCAATCGACTTTGTAACGCCTGGAGCGGCCGCAAGTGCTGACATTTCTGTTGATGACTCTTCTGTATACCAAACTATCTACGGTTTCGGTGCATCCCTCAGTGAGCAAACGGTCTTCGGATTCACATCAGGTCACTACGGCTAACACATACTAAAGCTGACTCCTCGGCACAATTGCTGAGCAACTTGAAAGTGCGGATCGCATCACTCTCTTTGTGTCCTGTATAGCTCACATCTCACTTAGACTCAAAACTCTGCCAACTACTGGGAGCTCATGGACTACCTTTTCAATGGTAACGTGATCATATCCATTTTGGTGGCAACCGTCATTTATGCGATATTTTTTACTCTCTTTTGATAGTCACCGACGGAGCGAACGCCGCTGGATTCTCCTATATCCGTGTACCTCTCGGCGCATCTGATTTCTCGGCAAGCTGTACTACACTCCCTTTTATATCCGTAATGGTGGTTTCTGACTGTTTCCCTGTTTAGTATACAGTTTAGATGACACAAGTGGAGACACTTCCCTCGGCAGCTTCAACATCGACGCTGCTCCTAGTTATGTATTCTCCACGCTCACCGATATCCTTTCGATCAATAATCGACTAAGCGTGCACATCTTGCCTTGGTCACCAGTAAGCTTATTTTTCCCTAGCGCGACTGTGATAGTAGGATGATAACGAGAACGACAACTTTATAGCCAGGCTGGATGAAATCTGGATCAACGATGGACGGTGGTACATTGGACAGCCAGTACGTTGACACGAGTAAGTTACCGTCTTTACCTATCGATCTTCGCATACTCACTTTGATTCACATCCAGTGGCCAATTATCTTCTCAAGAGCTTGCAAGGTTTCCAGAGTAAGAACATTCCCGTCTATGCCCTCTCGATCCAGGTATATCTTCTTTTCTTTTTACCTCTTCTTAAAATAATTGCTAACGATCTTGCAGAACGAACCTGAAAACAGCAACCCAACTTATCCCAGCTGCAGCATGCCAGTAGCGCAAGAAGCGGCGATTGGTACAGCCTTGAGGAGCCTCATGAACAGCAATGGTTTTACCAGCACCAAACTCATTGGATACGAGCATAACTGGAGTGACGCTGCCAACTACCCCGTACAGCTTGTGAGCAGTTTTTTTACACGAGCTTGATCAGGTTCTCAGCGACTTACTGGGCTTTGCAGATGCAACAAGCTGGCAGTTCTTTCGACGGAGTGTCCTTCCACTGCTACGAAGGTGCAGTCAGCGATATGTCGTCCTTCACTTCCCAATATCCCAGCAAGGTCAGTTTCTCATTCATTGAGCTTTTGTGGAATATTGTTTAGATATGTGATACAAAAACAGGAAGTTTATCTTACCGAGTGCACCGGAACGATTGGATCAGACTGGTGGAGTGATATCAAGGTAAGATATGGATATTATATGTCAAAGCACCGAATTACTGAAACAGTTGGCAGTGGTACATGGACAACCTGTAAGATTAAAACCTTAGTTGATGCGAAGGCCTAGCCATCTGATTTTAGTGCCTCCAGCTTCATTGTAGGGCCCCAATACGGAGCATCGAATGGTCTCATGTGGAACTTGGCTCTTGATGGCAATGGGGACCCCATCCTTTCCGGCACAAACAGCTGCGCCAGCCCCGGATGCCGTGGTGTCGCACAGATCAACAGTGATGGGAGCTACAGCCTCAACCAGGAGTGTATGTATCTCCTCACATCAATAACCCTTCGAATCTAACACATTCGGTCTTTCCTCAGTCTACTCCATGGCCCAGGCTTCCAAGGCCATCATCCCCAAAGACGTCGGTGGTCCATTCGGCCAGCGTATCGGCGTTTCAGTATCTGGCTCGCTTAGCTGGTCGCTCATCGTTGGGGCATATGTTACTGGACGTGTTTCCTCGACAGACTGGAACCGTTATGCTATCGTAGTTCTCAACTGGTAAGAAGCGTTATTCGTGGATTCCTCTTTCTTGTAACCACTAACAACCTTCTTACAGGGACGACAGCTCCACTACTACTTGGAACCCTGTCCCTGTCGAAGCCACCATCGAATTCAGAGGCATGCAGGTACGAATAACTCAGTATCTCTCCGAATTCGCACTTCATTCATATTTGTTTTTTCCTAGGCTACCTACACTTTCCCTGTGGGTGTCACCACCCTCTGGTGGTACGCGGCCCCAAACTAAGCAACTCGGCACAAGTTGCGATGTATGCGAGTTAACGTGCACAGTTGTCTTTGCACTTTATTTATTTATTGGATTTTATTATTGGGTTATTTACGAATTCACATGTGGGTCTCATTTGCGGGGCAGCAATCAATACCATTTTCATATACGGAAAAAAGGAAAAACTTGTAATGGTAGGAACACCGACTCTTGCTAAGAACATAAGACACCAGTTTCTGCATGTTCTTGATGGAATGTGCAGGAGAGTAGGTATGTTCTCGTTGTTGTGCATTTGAATGGGGTTAAGCTGGGTTTGTGGGTACTCATTCCACTGGAAATTTCATATAGCTTTCCTCGGCATCCGGATTCTCCAGCTTATACTATGATGGTGTGTTTTCATGTGGTCTTTTTCCGCGGGGAGCTGACAACATGCATGTAAGTATAGGGTCACTGGCAGTGGCTTGATTGACAAAGGTTGTTGTTCAGTTCCATTTTGAAATAGAAGAGCACCTCTCCATACTTTGGAGTAATTCAGAAGGGAAACTTCATGCTGTATGTCAAGAATCCAACTTTTTAAAGAAAACACGAGTGCGGGCATCCAGACAGGCTCCTCCCCATCCACTGTTTCGAGGTTCGAATTTATCCTAGGGACATGTAGATTAGATTAGATAAATGATAAGATAATTTTTTCAAAGTTCAGCTGACTTTCAAAAATTTTCTCATCACGTGCTTTCTTGCGATGTCGGGATGATCAATTGTCTCTATTCTCTAGGATACATTCTGAACCTCGAAACAGTGGATGGGGAGGAGCCTGGCATCCAGATCTCCAGAACTATAACTGTGTTTCGGCACCCCATGTTACAGTTACTTGCATCATGTCGTGCGAGTTCCGGATCAAAAGTCCTCAAGTTCTTCCTGTAATGTTCCTTAGTTGGGAGTTCTGTGTGATTATGTGCCTACATTTTTCTTAGTACTGTACTATGTAGGTGGCATCCAGGTCGTTATCTGTACTGATCTCGCTTGAAAGCTAGGATGATGGTGCACTGTCTCAATCTCTTTAACACCGTCCGTCGATGAAGTGATTACGTGCATGATATGCTTTCTAACCTACTTTCATCTGCGTAGCAGCAATCACCCGGACAATAACCAAAACTTTTCATATGTGATCTGGTGAAGACCCAACAAGGCTAATGATCACAAGAAGGTTCTGACGGTCATATCCTCCATTGTTGCACAGGCTTCATGTGACATCTTATAAGTACCTCGTGTCTGGAATAAATGACTGGCCCTAAATTTTTAATGTGAGCCTGTCATTTCAATGTTTACCAACACGTATCTTCATATCGTTAAACTGCGAGACATGTATGTATTAGATCATTTTCACGTCTCGTAACGTACCTGTCCTCAATCCAGGAAAAGCATCATCATTAGTGGAGGCACCAACTGCGCCATATAACAAGACTCGCATTGGCTTTAGGAACAGTAAGGGTATCCATCTTTCGCTGAAAACAAAATTTCTCGCACCAATTAGCCTATACGACAACAGGACAGCGGTGTCTCTAGACGACCTAGGCTTTACCCACCCCTTTCTTGAAGGCTGAGTTGGACAAAAGGAGGTTGAAATCCCAATGCTTTCACAGATACTAGTAGAATCTGCCATCACAAAAGGGTGATTCTCCGAGCCGAACATGACGGCAATGAAAGAACCCCATCCTTTATCTGATTCTTCCTGAATCAAGATATTGATTGCGGACCCCAGCTTTAAACTCATTATGACAGGCTTGTATAGTCCGCTAGACGATCATAAGCGATGACGAACTGTCACGATAAAACATGGAGAAGCTTTTTAAGACAACACCAAAGGAGAACGTGGAATACGACATATCCTCAATGTGAGCGGCTATTACTTACCGCAAGGTTACTGAGAAAGGAAACAGAAGTGTCAAGGGGGTGATGCATTGATGCTTGATTGCAGTTCTTCTTGATTACCAGCTTAACTAGGCTTCTCTGGTGAATGCGGCAAAACCGATTAGATACAGGTAAGTCCATTCGAACCTCGCTGATATATGCACTGATAGGTAAATATAACCATAATTGATTTCACTAGACTGATATAAAGAGTTGTTCTCCCATCCTTAGAGCTCTCGTCGCCACATTCCCTCCGGCGACACGCATCGTTTATCTCAGCCTTCAGCATCTATCTCTTCTTACACGAGATAACACGCAATGGATGCATATCCAACCATTGATGAGCTCACTGATGGTATGCAGATGGGGAGCACGACTGATCTTTGGGACATTGTGGTCAGTTTCTCCGTTGACAAACTGAACCATCTTCTGCTGACCGTTTGGGCCGCAGACTCTACTGCGAGCAACGTCAGGCTCACCACCACGGGTTTGGATCCTTATGGAGAGACTTACTATATTGATTGGGTGCTAACCCTCGGATCTCCTTCACTCGCTTTCACCCTTGACAGCAGAGCGTCTCTTACCATGTCCCTCTCTGGAACCCATCAGGTGCAACCCGTAGATGGGAAAGAGCTTCCCGTAATCGACATCCCCGAGGGATCATACGTTTTCAATGCAATTATACCTCTGGTGTCTGTCAGCGCGGTTGAAGGAGACACTACAGGATCCAATGCTTCTGTGAGTTGCTCAGAACACGTTTTAGTGCTGCTAACTAAATAAATAAATATTTGGTTTACTAAAGACATCTGGCGAAGTTATAAGTTTTGGAGATGACTCGAATGCTAAGATCCACATCGTATTTCAGTTCACCACATCAACGTTGGGCTCGTGCAGTATCGACTATACGGGTTCAGGCTCAGATCCGTCCGGTGACATGTTTGCGGTCGGTCTCAGAGCCACGCTGGCTGCATGGCTGGCTGATCCATTGAACATCAGCTTTATCAACTATTCCCTTGCCATCATTGATCAGACACCGTCTACTGGCGCATTATATCTCACTCCGGAATCTTTATCATTTACCGTCTACTCTTCTGGAGATGTTGGGTGCCTCAGCGTCTACATAAAGACGAAAGAATCGGGCAACGATGTTGGAAATATCACTCGTGCTTTCCGGCTCCCAAATGCCAGTGGCAAGAATACTTATCCCATCCCACAAGGTTATGACGCCAGCATCATCATTCGACACGAGCTTTTCGAGTCGTGCCTGAAACAGGCCCTTGAAAGCACTCCTTATTTTTGGTTGCAGAAAGCATTCAGTGACGTAGCCACACAACCCACTAATTCAGGGTTCAAATTATTGTTGACGCTTAACGATGCCGACCTGATACTTCCGGACCCTTCAGACCCATTCTTTCAAATCAAGTCTCGCGACTGGTCTTTATCCAAAACTCCAGCGACACTGGTTATCACGCCGGATGGGTCCAGTCAATGGTCCATGACGTCTAAGGGTCACATCGTGTTTTCCAACGGCTTCCCCGATCCATACACAGTAAAATGCACTTGCACCTTGACTCTCGACCAGAAGACGCGTATCATGCAAGTTGATCAACACACTATCAATGCTAGTTTGGGTGTCACAGCGTCTTCCTGGCACAAAAACAATGATGCCAATCTTGGGGTAGTCACAGAGTGGTTGGAACAATGGGCTTCTATGGCTTTTAGCCATGACCTCCAAGTCGATTTCTTTGCCACGACAAACATATTCGCCCCTGGTAAACAGGTTATCAATATCGACACGAAGAGAGGACTACTTGCACCTTATGATGTACTTCTTATGGGTGACGTCAAAGACAATGCCAGTCTCTCCGAGGTATAACTAGTAGACAACATGATTTCGTAGTATGGGCGACAACGGGGACGGGGGATGGCTATAGACACGTATAAAGATACTCGATGAGCATGAATGTTAAAGTTATGCGCCTGATGACCCAAGAGGGTCTGAGATGATGTTTGTATGCCATCTTCTACGACGTGTTCTGAATCACTCAGGAAGGTTCAGATGCAATACATAATCATTCGCAGATATGTAATACAGTAAGAGCAAAAGGACAAGAAAGAGCTGCCGATGATGGAATATAATTTTTGAATTCGCGTATGCAAGGCATTAAACATCTGTACATTGCAACTGCAGCTTGGATCTGTGAAACATTGATACCATTCAGCCACATTTGTGATTCATACCGAATGATCAGAGGCGACGTACCACTGCTGTACTGGATCAATTCTCCAGCACTGGTTTCTCCCATTCCATTTACCCCACAACGTCACCGTGGTACCAGGCGTGGGGTTTCCGTGATCGGATAGATCGAGGTTGAAAGGTGTATTGGGTACATATATTCTGCGGGGTACACGTTGGCATATATCAAGGAGTAGAAAGTAAAATCATACCGGTAAACTGTCATGTCTTCCTCATCTGGGAATATGTACCATTCGAAACGTTCAGACACAGCGACGACAGGCAATCCGTCTCTGGGAGATTCCTCGATACCAAGATATTTGCCCGATCCGACGGATTTAATCGTCCAACCATTGTCAGATGCTTGGTCAAAGATCCACTGAGAACATTAGATAGAACGAGTCAGCGAGATTCGTCTCCCTTGATGATCAGAGCGCGTACAGCCTGATTAGGTCCACTGTGAAACCCGTATCCAATAACTGGAGAGTCGTGGTAAGCAGTCTGTTTATCGTAGGTGGCCGAACTGCCAGTGCATTACATACTGGATTTGTTATCGCCCCCAGACAGGTCCATGGTGGTACCCCCTTTGACATTGGTGCATTTATAGATCTGACCAGATCGAATGGATGCCATTGAGAGGTGTGAGGGGAAGTTGATTGGGGGATGAGTGAACGAGATGCTAACCTGACTGGGTCTTTATACCTTCTGAGGAACGCACCGCAGCAAAATTGAGACACTACTACGTCATGCGCTTGGGAGTATGACAACACATGCAGTATTGATAGGATGCCAGTTTCCTTTGTAGGAATACTCAGTGGTACCTCGAGGACGAAAAGAAACCTGCTTACCGGCTGTATATGCCCTGTGATGCGTACAACATGTGTGTTTAAATACAACCGACTCCAATGCGGGGCTTCTCTTATGTACGAAGACTGTAAGGTGGAAGTAAATCTATTCAAGTTAGTACGCGTTCATCTCCAGAACGAGAGTTGACGATCACGTGGCGCATAACTCAGGCAAACTGTTACTTTCAATTCCTTACGTGCTTTCTCTTCCACATACGAACACGACTGCAACTGGTAGCCTAATCATTCTCCATAGTTTTGGTTCAATGTCGGCCTTGTGCACTATGGCGATAACTGGGGACAATATGGTCGATTATTGCACGACACACTGCGGTCCACTGCCGCGCTTGCGTCCTGTAAAATGCGTGAAGCACTATGAATATTCGGAACGTGATATTGTTCTGTAATAGTATGATATCTTCCCTCTAAGTTTCCTGGAGAATGGTTTAAACGAAGAGCGGACGAAACTGTACATTGTTGACCAAGATGGCTGAGAAACCTTTTGCTCTGATTCCAAGAGTCACGTATCTCGTTTTAGGGTTCTGACGAGGCTACATTACGCATGGTTTCTGACCTACTCGGTCAAGTAAAGGATAAAAATAATTGCAATGCACTTGAGAAGGTCGATAAAAACGTGAGTCAAAAATGTATTCTCTACTTCATTTGCTGATGAGGTTTACATTTTCCCTTGGTTAGCTGTTGGTCGCGACTAGCCAACTTTATTTTAGCAATGGTCCCTTTTTCACCCGTTCAATAGCGGACGCAAGCATAGATAGACTGTCGTGGGTAGGGATAGGTTGTCCAACTTTGGCGATCGAGATTCCTTGTCCTACATCGAAGTTGTAGTTCGCGAGTCACATAAATGGTATCCTGTACATTCCACTGTGTGAGTACCGCCCATGATCAGAGCCATTGATGTTGATATAGTTTGAATTAGGTGTCGTTCATGCGGCAGTGGATGATGTCATCTATGAGGAATATAATATACCAAAAGGTTAATAATCCTGCGTCCTATATCTGACAAATCTCCAGCTGACGTTTCTTTTCAGGAGCCCCACAGCCATTGCAAATGTCTGGTGTCCTGTTAATATGCTCATTACTTCATGTACTGATCAGCCAGCACTTAAGGGCTATGTCACGCGATGGGGTCAAGTACCCTAGTACCTCAAATTTCGAATCTGATAGCTCTTTCACGACTGATAGCACGCTCAGTGATGACATGGCCCTTCAAGCACTCGAGTCTGGCATGCGCATTTGTGCCGGTCGTTACGTAGCTGACACATTAATGACATTAAACTAATCAGCTCATATCTTCTGTTAGAATTTCGCTCATCTTTTCCGTTTGCTCGCCATATCCAGCCGCGGTTATTTGCTATTACCAAAGAGAAGTTGCATCACATGGTCAGCCACTTAGCTTGTATAAGATTTGTTCGAGCTGAAAGCAGTTTTCCTAGTGCATACACGTATACTGTACTCTCTTATCGTGATGTGATCATGCCTCGTCATAAGTTTGATGGCCGTCTACATTTTGGGAAACTTTGGGCTTTGCACAACTTCGCATCATTGGAAACCGTAGAGTATGTCACATGTACACGTCAAAAGAAGAGAGGTGAGTAACGTGAGTTCGTCTCCTATGTCATCTCATCGAACCATTGATATGTCAACAATGCCAGCTTGTCGGGACAACAGAAATGATCATATATTCTGTTGATTGGTATTGGTGCCGCACATGAGCCTTGTGAAATCACGATCACCAGAAGTTGAGGGAAGACTATTACGTGACTCACGGAGTAATTGAAAACAAGGTCGCCAAATGACTGACCTATGATCTGAGGATTTCTTGAAGTTTAACATCCAGTGTTATTACATTATAATAGCTAACGTGTAAAGCCTTGGACCATACCCATCATCGCAAGCATCAATCGCGATTTATATGGCAGAGGAAGGCAGGAACAAATTAGGAAAAAGCGAATTCAGCTGACCTCGTGATAGTCGCTTGGCACATTGGCAGTGTGAGTACTTGCATTATTTATGTACTGTGGATGGATACATATCAAAAGGTTCCTTTCACGGTTTTATAACGGAAGATTATCTCAACCATCCTTACTTTGCTCGTTGCCGCTGATTGCAATGACTTGCAGCAAAGTAGGCCTTATATACAAGTGTAATAATCCCACGTCTCAGCATATCTCAAGTTCAGCATTTCTGTGACGATGGGGACCATAGAAAGCACACGTGAAGCCGCCAGGGAAAGAGCACTCCAAAAGTTAAGTCCATATATAATGTCCACTTTGTAACTGCCTATGAAGGCCACACGCGTCAATCGCAATTCAATCGTCAGCAATCGTGGTGAAGGAAGAATCCATCCTTCCATTGGTTACATATCCCGGGAAGGACCGCCGGCTGTGTCTGGAATGCACAGGCTCACATCTCTAGAAGACGTGGAATAGGAATCAGAAATCTGGTATTCAGTTTTAGCAAGGCAGTGAACATGCTGAGGTACTGATATCAGGCAGAACAGAATCAATGAGGGACCCAACATGATAGTAAGAACGAACCAAAGAGAGACATACACCACTCATCCAATAGTGCTGTTATCAGGGCTGTAAGCATTGTATATATATCCCTTTGTGCAACGATGTTGCTAATCCCCACATTATAGTGATATAATCATGTTTGAAGCAGTAAATTTACGCTCCACAGCTGTTGCTCTCTTGTTTGCTGTTTTCGTCGGTGTTACGAGGTATCTACTCCGGAAGACAGCGACTAGGAACAGCCCGCCGTTCCCCCCTGGTCCTCCACAGCTGCCTATAGTGGGAAATGCCCTCGGAATCGACTCTGCTGCCCCTTGGATTACTTACAAGCAATGGGGAAATACCTATGGTATCAATATTATTATTATCACCAGATTTCCGTATAACTGATTATTTGCGTTTTATCCTGGAAGGTGACATCATATACTCTCGTCTCTTCAACCAGGATATCATCGTTATCAATTCGGAGAAAATAGCAAAAGACCTCTTGGAAAAGCGCTCGACCAACTATTCAGATAGGCCCTTTATTATTACTATAGAAATGTCAGTACATTGTGCTTCACATATAACCAGATTGCTTGATTTTCTACAGGTTTGGTTGGACTTTCAATTCCGCATTCTTGCGCTATGGGCACAAGTGGAGACAACACAGGCGATTATTCCATGAACAGTTGAGGCCCGTTGCGGCACTTTCCTATCGTCCTTTGCATATGCAAAAAACACACCAACTGCTCATCGATATACTTGAAGCACCTAAAGCATTTGCACACCACTTACAAGCGTAAGTTTATGAACTCGTCGAAATATCTCGTTGTCCAAATAGCTAATAAACCTTGCGATATGTAACTCGAAACTTTAGAATGACTGCTTCCACTATCATGTCGATCATATATGGTTATGAAATCGAGCATTGGAATGATCCCCTCGTGGCAGTTATTGAGGAGGCTGCAGCGCGAGGCTTTGAAGTTGTGACACCTGAGGCATCTGCCGTCCTGGGTGCCTGGCCACTCCGTACGTTTCTTGATAATTACACGCATAATCTATAGTAATTACTCTCTATGGTAGTTTTACACCTTCCATCTTGGTTTCCTGGAGCAGGCTTCAAACGACGAGCACGAAAATGCTATAAAATAACAAACGAGATGATAGAGAGGCCATTTCTACATACAAAAAAGCTCATGGTACGTTCTCTAGTTCCGCAGCCATTTTATTCAATCTGATAGTATCATAGGATTCTAATAGCGCCCCAACTTGTATGGTCACCAACCTGTTGAATCGAATAAAGGGTGAGGATAACTATGACGAACTTGAAAAAGTCATCAAAAGTGTCGCTTCTACTTCAGTTATTGGTGAGGACACTATCCTTACACTTCTAGTTTTAACACTCTTTTCTACAATTTGCTTTCTGTCAGCGGCATCAGAGACTGTAAGTACTTTCAAAAAATTTTCGGTGTAAATCCTGAAATCATCTTCAGACCACCTCCACTCTCCTCATCTTCGTCCTTGCAATGGTACTTTACCCGCATGTTCAAGTTCGGGCGCAAGCAGAAATCGATTCCTTTATAGGCAAGGAAAGGTTACCTACCTTCGATGATCGCCATTCCTTGCCTTATGTAGAAGCTGTGGTCCGTGAGACACTTAGATGGCAACCTGTTGGACCTTTGGGTGAGTTAAAAGTTGAGCACTATCATGATCAAGGCCAGTTGACACTGAACTGAGTAAAATTCCTCGCCAGGTATGGCACATGCCGCAGTGGATAGCGATATCTAAGAGGGATTCCTTATACCAAAAGGTTCAGTCACGCATCCAATAGCAGAGAATTTTCTTATTTAATTTTTTTTCAGGAGCAACTGTGGTCGCAAATGCTTGGTTTGGTTTATCCCCATACCATTCTATCACAAACTAACCGCCAGTACTCAACAGGGCAATGTCACGCAATGAAGCCAAGTATCCCAATCCCTCGGAATTCATTCCAGAGAGGTTTTTTACTGCTGAGGGCAAGCTCAATGACGACAAGGTCAATTATGCGTTCGGATTTGGTCGGCGTATTTGCGTTGGTCAAAACCTAGCTGATGCAGCTGTATGGGCAGCTGTAGTTTCAATTCTAGCGGTTTTCAAACTTATAAAGGCAAAGGATGATCAAGGGATCGAAATTGATATTGAGCCACAATGAACAGCTGGACTAGCAATGTGAGTAGACGTTGTATCCACTTTGCCCACCAGTGCTCAACAATAAATGCTGTATTTTTTCAGTCGCCCACTTCCATTTGCGTGTCGCATGGAGTCACGCTCACTAGGTATGACACTCGAGAAACTGCACCACATCATCAGTCAAAGTGGTTCAAGTTGACTCGAAATTTGCTGATTCTGAGAATTCTCTCTGTGTCTCTCTCTTCTGTTTTGGAACGCCAATACAATACTGCATTTAAACTCCGACTCAACATCTGACCTGTAAGGTCCTCCAAATTGGTTCTCTGACATTTATCCTACCATTCTCACTGTCACGCCTAATTACCTGGTCCTTGGTAAAGTATGTCAGAAAATCGAGGTCGTAGAGGCTCCTTTGCTTCTACACAACCAGTTCCGTCCATTGCTTCATCTTTGTCCGTTCGTCCCAAGATTTCATCAGATATATGCGCCAAATTCGTTACTACAACGAAGGGCGGCCGCACAGAAGGTTCTTTATATACACTACACCTCTGAGACAATGGTTTTGAAACGGTTTTCAGCATTGACGCTTAGCATCGGGAAACCTGTAACCATAGGAAGGAACCCCGCTATCTGGTATCTTTATCCGCTTCAATGGCGATGTCTAGCAGTTTTTGACTGTTTTCTTTTTTTTCTGATCAACAGCTCATACATTATTCCTGACGTTGTAGTTTCAAGCCTGCACTGCAAGATATATGCGTTAATAGGGGGTTTTTTTTTTCACTCACTTGCAATTGGTGACTATTCCCAACAGGGTTCAATCATGTACAGGAGGAGTCATTATATCGTGCCAAGTACTTTTATTTTTCATGCGATATCGCTATGAAAAACACGTTCTATGCCCCATTCTTACATCACTTTCATTGTTAGGATATGTCAACTAACGGCCTTATCTTAAATGGCCACAAAATCCGGAAAACCTCCGCAATTATCATGGATGGTGATATCATCAAAATACCCGCGTCACAAAGTTAATATAGACCCTCTCTTAAATATTTGTTTTTGCTGATATACAAGGCACAGCGTTCCAGTGCTTCCTGAAATGGAAAAAATTAATTAGTAAAAAGCCGGACTCTGATACAGCTTCCTCCCAGCCAGAGGCCAGAAAGGTAGGAAGTATCGATGTGATATTTGCTTATCTCTCAGCTCAATCTGACAGAGTATTGGAAATTATCTCATTACTTCACATTGTCTGGGAAGTGGTAGTTATGCGACTGTTCAGCTGGCGTTAGATACTAGTGCACATAGACAAGCAGCGTGCAAGATAATCAAGAGGAAAGAAGGTGTTGACCTTAGGAAAGAGATGAAAGAAGCTACCCTTTTGATGAACTTGCATCACGTATGATTCCACGCTTACATTCATTTCTTGACTTATTCAGCGAACATTTCAGCCCAATATAAACCAGGTATACGATGTCGACTCTGATTCAGGGTTTTTGTAAGTGGTTATCTTATTCTCTATGTACTTATCACGACGTTGCACGCAGATATATCATGCTGCAACTTTCTACTGGTGGTGATTTATTCACGTACATTACTACTCACTCTGGAAATCGCCTTTGCGAAGGGGAAGCGAAGTATATCATGTATCAGCTTTTAAAAGGTTTGAAGTACTTGCACATTAGAATGATCTCGCATCGTGGTACGATCAGTCCCTTCCCCGCATCTTTACGACTGCTCACACCCGAAGTTCAGATTTGAAGGTGTGTCATTAAGGACTAAGATTTAATCACGTTGACGTCTGCTCATCGTGTCAGCCTGAGAACATTCTCCTATTCTCCCCTGGTCCCTATCCCCGTATCCAGATCGCGGACTTCGGACTGGCACGACCCAAGGCTTATCAGGAAACATTGCATGTATGCGGAACAATATCTTACTTACCCCCGGAAGGTATACTGGCCCTCAATAACAAGACGCTAGGATATGTTGGAATGCCGGCAGATTGTTGGAGCGCCGGGGTTACCATGTTTGCGATGATCTCGTTAGTGTAATCAAAAAGGCTTTATCCACCGACTAATACGTCCACTGTCCTTGCCCACAAGGGGATGTCATCCTTTTGATTTTGAAGGTCCATCTTCTCAATCAGTTTCGTTTCTGGACTCTCAAGGCTTCGTGCTGTCGCCAAGGTCAATGGCACAAGACGAAATAATTAAACACAGGATCCTCGAAGGCCATGTCCCCTTTTGCGAGCAAATCTGGAGCTCACTGCCTGACGGTATGTCCATACGCTGACGTGTATTTGTTTCTTACTAGCAAATGAGCTCTGTCATCATGAGACACACATCTATGGTCTCTAGTGCTCAGAAACTCACTTTGTTTTTTTATAGCGAAGCATCTCGTTGTCCATCTTCTTATTCCCGATCCTCTCCGTCGCGCTACCGTCTACTCGGCTGTCAATAGTCCGTGGATTGTCAGCGACCTTGAAGAATTGGAACAAGCGTATCAAGAACGAATATGCTCCACGCCATAGACCTCTTGACATCGATTCCTCTGCTTTTAAAATTGTTCGTTTGCCTGTTGTTGGTCATTCGTGTTTATTATTTTACGTCACCAATGCACCAGTCTCACTTTACTGTAACATCGAAATTTTAGAAGTACACCCTTACACTGGTTACTTGTTCGATAGCTTTATGGAATGTTAATCGAGTTTTTTTGCCTCAGATTTGACGTCCGCCTACTGGGAGGGATATTACCTGGTATATTGCGCGCGCTTAACCATAAAAAGTATGTGTTGACACAATAGGATATCTGGGCGTTTAGGCTCGTTTGATGGCAAACCAAGGTGGCTTGCGATTATAGTAATTGGCAAGTACTCTTCAGCGCTCAGCGCTCAGGTATAGCGCTTGTGTTCATTACAATCAGTCCACGATCTATCTTTAGTGTCTCCTGCAGGTTCCCAGTCCCCAGCTTAGCGCTTCAGCACCCGTTAAAAGAGCCACAACGTTGTCCAGTTCACAAACGAAATCCCGTATGTTACTCTTTTTATCTGGTTTCGCTGTCGTTGAACTAAACTATCTTACTCTTGGCACATGATCACCTGAAAAATAAGAAAAGGTCTCATTAACCCTATACCTCGATAATCTACCAGCCGCTCTTCTAGTATGTCTATTTCATATTTCATGGATTGCTCGAAGTTGAAGTACTACGAGCACTACGAATTCAGGAAATCCTGTACACAATGCCCACCCGTACTTATCGGATCCATAAGAAAACCACAAATGTTCGCGCCACTCTAAAACCCAAGCAAGGATATGAACACATTCTCTCGGATCTTTCACCAGACAAGATACCCCCTCATCGTTCTGATCCACCCAGGCCAGAGGACAAGTCTGCTCTTAACCGCGCGCTAACGGCGATGAACACTCTCCGTCAGCTCGGCGAATCCTGTGCAATAGTCAAGAATCCCATGGATTCCAGGGTTCTTGCCAACTGGAATGGTGTTTGGGAGTGGATAAAGTACTTTGAGAAGCACTGTATTGTCCAACATGAATATCCCATCGCGATCGAAGACATGGCCGCAGCAGAAATTACCTTGTTTGGCTTTTTGGTCATTTTGGACGAGGAAACTAAACAAGCCGCGATCACGACACCCGGATATATTGCCCTCATCACCAGGCTGTGGCTGCACGAAGAAGAATACTGTTTGAAATATGCACGCATTAAATCAGCCAGAGGGGGAAGCCCCTTTTCCCTCCTTTTATCCAAAATGATGAACACTGAATTTACTATTGGAGGCTCAGACGATATAGTTGTGGCTGGGATTGTAGAGGGAGCTAACGGATCGGTGGATATCGTCGCAGCCCATACCATGAAAAAGCTCCATGCAGCTCTCGACGCTACTCCCACTGCGAATTTGGTCCAAGGCTGCAATATACTGCTTCTTATCATCTCTTTCTACAGTCACTGGCACCAGGATAGTTTTTTCTGGGCCTTGATGCGGGAAGGCGTTGCTGGCGGAGTGACAAAGGCATTTTATTCCTGTATAAACCGGCTTGAACCTCCGAGCCGTGAGGTTGAATCTACTATGAGAATGTGCTATTCGATCTTCTCGATCATGCATCTTACGCAGATAGGGCCGTCATGGGTAGCCCAAGCGTTTGATGGCAAACTCATACAGTCCATGTTGCTCACAGGAGCTTTTGTGAAAGAGCAAAGTGCTGTAGAGTGCGTCGAACGAGCCGTCAAATTGTTCAACCGTCTTGGACAATATTTGGCATGTCGCACTGTTCTCCGGGTGTTCAAGCAGCAGCTCCGAGACATCCTTGACGCAGACATTGCGAACCCCACTGTCGCGGGGCCTTTATGGGAAAGCTGGCTGCTGTTCAGAGATGAAGCTCAAGAGAGATTAGCAGTATTAAAAGTATACGATGCTCAAAAGAACCCGAAGATGACGAAGATTTGTGGGTTTCAACATGTAAGTGTTCAGCTCCGAACGGCTCGTCAGCGAGATCACCTCCTAACCTTGTCCCTTAGTGTCCCCATAGATACTTCATTGGAACTGATGAAAATAAGGCTATGCGGTGCACCGGTTGTTTCACAGTGTATTACTGCTCAAAGGATTGTCAACGGAATGCATGGTCAGCACATCGATTCCTCTGCACCAAGTTACGGGAAAAAAGCTCGGGTTCGTGGCTATGTACAGATAAAATACTCCATGATTAAAATTCACCCAATGTGTAGGACCAGACTCAAATCCTGTGACGGCGGAGGCCGACCACAGATTCTTCCAGTTTCTGAACCAACACTACTTCGAAACTCGTCTGGACGAGATCATAGACTTATTGATAAGCTGGAAGGTTATCAAAATACCTCAAGTTTCTAATTTCATCGTTGGTTTTGATTATCAAGCTTTCCCCATGAAAATTTCAATCGGGAAGACAGCACAATTTACTCCTTCACAGAAGATATCTCCTCAAATGACGTGGTTTGATAATAAAAACCTCGAGAACGACGCTAAAATCGTCCGAGAAGTGAAAGCAAGTAAGGGAGGGAAAATCACCGTTCAAACAAGATCCCCTGTACTTGGCGCATATTGGCACGAGAATGAAAGCTTTGCTTTCACTTTTCCACCTGATTTCTCAGAACGTTTCTGCCAGAGTACGTCGATATCAAATAAGTTTAATCAGGACGATATTTTACTAAAACTCATACATATCCGCTAGAGTTGGAGGCGAATTCCAAGGGCGAAGAAGTTTTGCAAGACACGACTTGAAATCCTCCATCCAATTTTATCTTCTTGCTCCCAGCTGTCATTATCATATTTGCGTTGTATTTGTGTAATATCCATATGATGCTATGCTTTTCTCCTTTCTCTTTTCTTCTTCTTTTCTTCTCATGACCCTGCAACCCTTTACCTATACTACCGCTATGTAGCAAAGACGTTCACTATCTGATGCAGTCCCTTGCCAGCGTTCGATGGATGATATCCAGATCATAAAATTGAAGAGCTTACATAATCTCAAAATGACGCAGGCAAACATCTACAATCTATGCAGACTTGAGCCCAGCGACCTCGGAAGGCGTTCTTTTCATTCCACAAAGTTCGTTTTGTCGCCTTTGGCTCAAAGTTCTCTTTTTTTGAAGCCAAAAGATTGCATTGTCTTGCAAAAAAAGCGTTGTAACAACTGAAGAAGAATGTCTGAAGAAGATCAACAAGTCCCACCTCAAACTCAGGATGAGGTTAAGCCAGCCGACGATAACGCGCCGATTAATGTAAAGGTACGAGAGTCCGAATACGTATCAGCGTAAGATGTGATCCTCATGTTTTGTTTCTCCAGGTTGTTACATCCACGGGGGATGAAGTCTTCTTCAAGATCAAACGCAACACGAAGCTGAGCAAGCTTCAGGGCGCTTACGCCAACAAGGTTGGAAAAGATGTAGCTAGTATCCGGTAAGCTCTTGCAGTCTTCTCTCTTTGTTCCACCAGTGTCTAAACGTTTATGTCTACTCATTCTTTTTGATACGCTCTGGCTACCCAATTTTGTGTCGATGCTGGTCATTTTTCAACTCGTTCTGGTGGATATCGGCTTCATCGTCTAGATTTCTGTACGATGGTTCCAGAATAAACGACGATGACACGCCTTCGTCACTTGACATGGAAGACAATGGTCAGTGTCTCGTCCCTTTTGTAAATTTGCAGGCATTTATTTAAACCGTGTTTTCCACCCCTATTATCAGATACTATCGATGTAATGGTAGAACGTACGTGTATTTTATCTTTCCCACCTACTCTTATCCATTATCTGATCCTGGTGTCTTTACCCAGAGGTTGGAGGGTCATTTGTACTGGGGTATTCACACCAACATTGTTCATAATGATATCGTCGTTGTTTATTTCCTATCTGCTTTCGTTATCGACTTTGTGTGTGCGATGTAAAAGTCAGATTGCTGTATCTTAGTTGATCTTGCAACTCCTCGATGATCAAGTTCATCAGGATACCTCGAGGGTCCTGGTGTTGGACAAAAACAAAAGCTGAAATAACTGATATGAAAAGAAACTATTGATTGCTTGGAGCATGACAAACGTGTTAGTACTAGAAGATAACATCGGATTAGGTTGTTAAGGGTGTCGCACGGAAAATGAAGGAATTCCAAGTAATCGGTAGAATAGTGGGAACAGCCTGAGATAATATGTATGCAAGGTGAATGGGACGGATAGATGCGGAAGATATAACCTAAAAATAGTGATGAATCTAATAATTACGTGGAACTGGAAAAAAGCCAAGTGTCAATTGAACGAGGGAGAAAAAATGAAAGTAGTGCGTCAGCATGAAGACGGATCCATGTTTCAACGTCTTTATCATTCACTTCAAACTACCGTCGATCCTCATGCAGGATTCCATGTCGACTCGGATCTGTCCACCATGTGCGAATCCTCTGCAGCCCAACTTGCTTGGGTTCGTCCACTCGATGATGTGCCAACTATAGTGGCAGGTGCAGTCACAAAGGATTGGGCAGCAGTGCTGATATCAGGGTGACTACTGCCACTTTCTGCACCTCCAGTCACGCCCGTAGTGGGAATTGGGATTCCAAGGCGCTCAGGTTGATGCTCTGGAGATTGTGCTCGTTCCGGAGAGCGCGATACAGTCACTTCCGAAGGTCGTTCTGATGGCGCAGATATAGAAGCGGCAGATGGAGCTTCATGCAAGCGCGACGATAACTCTGGCACTTCAACCCGAGGTTCATCAACGGCAGCCTCCTCGTGCAACTCAGTCCTCAACGGGTGCCCAAACGTATAGTTTTCAGCGCTACTAAGCATGCCATCTGATGCACTCCCAGAATGTGAACGAGCGTCAGAAGAGTAGACCACTTCTTCCTCAAGCCGCGCTACCGACGAGTTCGCACGCGAGCGGATCGCTTGAACTAGATCGAGCGATGAGCGCGATGCAGCTCCGATACTCTGGATCAAAGACTGCGTGCGGGAGCGCACAGCTGAGCCAGTACGAGAGCGTGAAGACGAGGAGCCTGATTGAGAGCTTGTTCGTGAGCTAGTACCAGAGGGGAAGCCCTTGCCACGGCGACGGTGACTGCTGACGAGAGACGATCGAGGGCTACGAGCGGGTACTCCCAGGAGCCCAACACTATCCTCGCCTTCAGCGGCTTCGTGCGGGCCTTCCGGCTCGGGCTGTTCCATCATTTCCATTTCGTGCTCTTCGTCATCATCATCATAAGGATCTTCAGCAAGGTACGAATCGTGCACGGTAGGTTCGGCGCGGCCAAAAGCTTCTGTATAGTTATTGTCCACACGAGTATTTGCTCGCGCTCGATGGATTGCACTAGGGAAAGTGATAGGGGATGGCGATGGTGGGAATGCAGATGGCACAGTTCCAGCGCGGGCGCGACCTCGACCATACTGAGGGTGTCGTGGAGGCATCGGAATTGGAATTCCATAGCCAGACGTAGGGCTAGACATGTTCGAACTCAAATCGTGAGACATGGGAGAATCGGACGAAGTATCGCGATTGCCTGTAGATTGCGTTGAATGCGAAACTCGCGAATTACTAGACCGCGAGTTTGAGGAAGGCGTGCTCTTGGACGGTGTCGAATGCGTAGGTGCAGATGACGAGTAGCTGTGCCCACGAGTGGGCCGACGGAACTGGAAGGGATAACGAGACACAATCGGCTGCCCGAGGCTTGACATTGAACCAGAAGTTCGTGGTTGAGCTTCACTGCTTTCTTCCCCTCCGTCTTCTTCCTCTTCCTCTTCTTCCTCGTCGTCGTCGTCCTCTTCCCCTTGCTCCTCCTCCTGCTCACCTTGATCACCCCCTTCCTCTGCCTCTCCTTCTGCTTTAGGTTCCTCTTCGCTTTCACTAAGACGTTTACGCTTCTCTTTCCTAGACCCAGGCGAGGGAGGGAAAGGAATTTGATCTTCTGATGAGATTTGTGCGCCGTACCCTTTAAAAGGATACGGCAAAGCCATCAACGGCCCAGAAGGCCCAACCACCTCCCTATCCTTCGAGTTCCTCTTGACAACCTTTGGAATGATATCCGACAACTCCGGCGGAGGTGTAGGCACACTTCCTATTTCGGCTTTTGGCCTTTCAAACAGCTCGTCTGACAACATCCCCCTCCTCGCCGGAGGAGGCACCGATGGGAACCCGACAGCTGCCAAGACCTGTTCTACTTCAAACGCTGGCGCCGTGGACACGCCCAGGACCTCGCGCTCAGGCACATCCTTCTTCCCGGCGTTCCATCGCGCGGGAGGCTTGACTGTGAGACAGAAATCGTACGCCTCGTGGATGCGCATGCGTGTGCATGCCTTCCAGCTCCATGAAAGGGCGTCCGACTCGGATGCTGCGTCGCTGTAGACCGACATCGTCTTCTCAGCATCTTCTTCCTCCCATCTGTACCGAGGCCCGCACAATCCAGCACAGGCCTGTCCACTAACTACCCATAGTCCGATCCTGTGAGGCAAGAGGGTCAGTTGTGTAGATAGGGAATTAGGTGGGGGTGCAGGTGGCTCACCAGCTCCAAAATAGGACAAGAGTCCTCCATGCCGTCCAAGCGGCATTGGCGATGAGGACGCCACGGGCGTAATCTGTCAACGTGCCATCTGACGGACGAAAGAATGTCGAATCTCGGGGGCTGATGCCAGCATCGACAAGTGCAACGTAATCCGACTGGGGTGAAGAGAATGCTAAAAGCAAAGCCAAAGAAAGAGCTGCGCGTGGCAGGAGAAGGGCAACAGTCGGAAGGTTCTGAGAGTAAAACCAAAACGTTTCGGCAATACCATCGCGGAGGCTGCCATTTTCACCAAAGAAGGCGGAAAAGCGGATGTAGTTCATGAAACAAAAGTTGGTGTAGGATGTCATGGATACCAGATTGAAAGCAGACGCGGACAGATAAAGAGGTGTGATGAGCGGGCGTTCTAGATGTTGCAAATGAGTTGATGTATAGAAATGAATGGTCGGATGAGATACTTACTGACTCGCCACCGACGGTAGAAAGAGTAAATCAGTTCATAAACAAGAGTAACTACTAAGATCCATGAAAGCCAGCAAGCAATGTACGCAGCAGCGCCCAAGGCCCAATCCTTTCCTGAACCCGGCACGCCGGGAGCCTGAGGGTTTGGATGCTTGGCAACTCTGGGAAAGTGTCGTCAGTGATGATCGCTGAGCGAGCGCGAGGGTGATGAAACTCACTGCAGTAATATAAATACAGCATTGAAATCGAAAAAAGTCTGTAAGGGGATGTGATAAAAAGCGATAAGAGGAAGCAAGTAAAAGTAAAGACGAGCGAATAGAGAAGGGTTTCGAAGAAGCTCTGGATGTAAACCAGTCGAGCGGAACTTTGGGCGAGGGAGATGATCCTGCGCACGACTCGCAGCAGAAAACAGGGTAGGCGAGAGACCTGCTGTAGTAGCGCGAGACCATACACGCGAGCGCAGTGGATTGGTGACCCGTGTCTGGTCGGTCGTATCACGATGATGAAAAGGACCTCCGGACTGTGCAGCATCTTGGAGACTGACGACACGAACAGAGCGAGGAGTCGCCTTTCGACCACCAGAGAAAAGTTGTTCGGTAGGCGGACGCTCGAACATGTTTACTGACGAATGGTAAGTAGACGCTGGAGCTGGAGGAGGGGGACGTTTTGGAAGCCAAGATGGATAACCCTCTGATCCTTCTGATACTCTGGGGTGAGTTGAGGACGAGGGTTGTTCGGAAGTATAGCCTCTGTTATCCATGGGAGAGTCACCAGGAGGTGCGCTGGCTGGAGACTCTGAAGACGAAGAGTGCTGTAATCGTGACATTCGTTAATAAAGGTAAGATATGATGGAAATAGAGGAGGAATCAGAGTTCGTAAGGACGTAGACAAGCGTGGTGTCGCGTATAGAGAAAAAAATAAGAGAATTTTTGAGAATGGGGCCAGTGCTTATTAGCAAAGGAGGATGGTAAGATAAGGATGGCAGGAGAGCTGCGAGCCTCGTGTTATGCGATTAGAGGGACTATCGCTGGCCTCGTGTCTTTGCCTATTCTGCAAGGGAACAGCAGCGACGAAAACACGCTCAAGGGAACAACGCGGACGCTTGCTGGAAATACCAACCACGCACCTCCAAATCAGGAAACCCGCTAGAATACCCCCGCTTATGTCTTACGGCCTTTTGCTTCCCTTTGTGGCTATATATGGTCTCCTGATATACAGGGATATGAAGGCACAGATATCAACGATGGTCGGGTAATGAACGAATGCGCACAGCGGACAGGCTCGAGAATAACGAGCAGCTGCCAGCGCTGCACGACGTCAAAGACAGTGATGGTGGTGGTACGGGAAAGAAAGTTGCTACGCCTCTCGCTCTCCCAGAGTCGGTTCAACCACTCGTTGCCACGCATACGGCGATACACATTTGCTTGACTACAGCAGCTGCAATAATAATAACATTCTTCAGATCAGAAATAAGAATGATACACAACGTTAGCGCGAACAAGTCCCATCGAGACGCCCATCCATTTCCGAGGAATATAAACCATTTTCTTCCTTCTTTGGTGTAAAGTGCACCACATCTGACCCCTGGCCATATGCAGACTCCCAATCAAACTCGCTCTCCTGGTTCTCTTTACCAAACGCTGCAATCAACTTGGCTGCTTCCTCTGTTCCGTTGACAACACGTCTCGCATCTCCTTTTGTCTTTCCTCGCGCCCCTTGTCCGTAGATCACAGACTCGTCTCTGGCCAGGAACGTACCAATATGTCGAAACGTCAGACTGATCCGCTCTCCATTCATAAACCGTTCCTCGTCCGATTTGGTCTGCAGCGGGCGTTTATCGTGGTTAACAGCGTGCAGCCACTTGGCGTTCGTATCCAGACCGAGAACGAACATCGAGTTGTGTGGTAGCGGTATCCTTTGGCTCGGACGCGCCCCTTTCTCATCGCGAGGTTCAAGTTGCTTTGCGCCATCCTTCTTCATACGAAGAGTCATCACACGCTGAGCTCCCAGGCTGACATTCACGATTTTGGAACCGCGCACGACATCGATCGTCTTGTCAGAATGCTCCGAAATATAGTCGGCCCCGCTGCGATAGTGTTGGATGAGAACGTGGTTAACGGGGTGATCGAGCACCTTTTGCACGTGTTCACGAATCCGTGATACAGTGGGCGAGAAAGGCGAGAGGGGAGGGGACTCGTCCGCAGGGTGGCGGTATATTGGGAAACTGGAGTAAGTGCGAGGTTAGGAAATGCATGTATAACGCACACGAAACTTGCCTTCCGTCTGCATCCACTTCACCTTCGACTGCCACTAATCTGGGGACCTCCCCACCTGGATAGCCACATGTTAATGTTGATCAGGTACAGCGCATAACGACATACCTCGGTGATACATCGTATTCCACTTGACTTCCTTGCGCATATTCTCGAATGCGACGTCCGCCAAATCATCTGGCAGTATGCTCAACACCAGACTAGAATCTCCCTCTCCAATTTTATCGCCAGCACCGAGAGTAGGAGGTGGTTTATGAGGCCTGGCATGCTCAACACATGTAGCTGTGTCAATTGGGATAGTGGTAAACGTAGAACCACAAAATACCCACATGAAGTGACGAATTCAAGAAAAGTGCCCCGGAATTTGACTCCCAGTGACACGTTTCTCGGGCCAAATGGGGTGTACTTATACATAGTATACAGTAACTTTTGGTGTTCCTTGTGTTGATGGCCTGCGCAGCGTAAGAATAGCGTGTATACCCATGCCTCCTACCGTGACCCCCCATTATACCCTCCCCAAGTTCAACATCCGAGTCGAGGATCTCTCTCATCCTGGAGCAGTCTTATTCTTCGACAACGTGCAACCAGCGCTAGCCCTCAAAGATGCCGTACTTGCCTCCTTCACCCATCTCTACACGCCAAAGACAGTCCCCACGCAGTAAATCTACCCTTTCAGTTTATTGAACATACATCTTCATTGACTGGATCAATCCGCTCGTTGCAGTGTGAAGCTGATCACGCTCGTCCTTCGTTCTATGGACGGCGTCGCGTACACATTCGGATCACACACTGATAAGGAGATCCACTTCTCGCTTGATTATATCAAGGCCTCAGAGCATCGTGCGCGGGATGAGATACTCGGTGTGCTAGTCCACGAAGTCGTCCATTGCTTTCAGTATAACGGAAAGGATCAGTGCCCGGGAGGACTGATCGAGGGGATCGCAGGTATGCCTTCTCACAAAGTTCCTCATAATCTTATCATGTCCTCCGGACCCGTATTCAGATTTTGTGCGGTTGCATGCTGGCTATGCTCCCCCGCACTGGCAGGCAGCAGGCGGGGACAGATGGGACGCTGGATACGACAGAACTGCTTATTTCCTCGACTGGATCGAGAAACATAACGGAGAAGGCACCGTACAGAAGATCAATCAGCTGATGAAGGATAGGAAATATACCGAATATGTCTTTATAGAGGCAACGGGTCATGGGGTGGATAAATTATGGAAGATGTATTGTGCATTGCTGGACAAGAAGAGCCCCAAACTGACACCCAACTGAATCACCAACTTTCTGACCACAGTACTCCAGATATATATGAGCAACAATGTACAGTGCTATATCCACTATACGAATCAGTTTTAAACCTAAGACACGCAAACTCAGCAGAGATAAATAGAAAGATAAACCACCACTATCCCCATTCCTCCTCCGATTAACGAGCCAAGTCGTCGTCTTCATCACCATCACCCTCATCGTCGATATCGATTTCAGCCAGCTCCAGTCACTTCAAGTTGGACTGAGTTCCTACGGTAGGTTGCTATCCCAGTCATCTGCGTCGAGATCAGGGTCCGTTGAAATCTTGCTAGGATCAAGAGCTAGACTTGAACTGGGACCTTGCTGTAGGAGGATCGTCCAAAATAAAGAGTCCGTGAACCATACAATCTTGATTCCGCCACGTTTCCTTGCTGCATCTACCTTGACTGTACCATGCTGCATTACACGGGTGTTATTAGTGTGAAATATTCACAACGAAAAGACTAACAGTGCGACGAAACAACGTGTGTGGTTTATATAGTTTGGCTGCATCGTGTCATGATCGTGGCTGTCTTTGCATCAAACCAAATGGCTTCATATGACTGGAAAATGAATGCAGCCGACAGGACATAGGCATGGGGAAAACTCCTTGGTCTGACCTTAGTTTGGCGTTTCGCTGCCTCTCAAATTGGCCAGTGCCCTGACAATTGCCGAGTCAGCCCTTGCAGTGCCTCCTCAATGTACTAAATTGAGGGACCTCCAATTGTCACGGCATAGAAAGAAACACGACTAACTTTAAATATCTGAGTGATACGGCAGCTCAGAACAATAAATATCCTTCTATACAAGCATTTACCAAATATAAAAGCAATACTGGGATCAGAATTCAGCAAACACCTTCATGAAATAACACTCCAGCCATATCAAGACCGGCACCTCAACTCGCTATCCCATTCCTCAGAACCAACGCCCTTCGCTACCACAAACAAGCGGTGTGGATCATACTTGTCCTTGATCGCCAACAGCGAGGGGTAGTGCTCCCCAAAGAAAGTATACTGGAAATCAACTTCGTACAAAGAAGCCTGAAAGTAGGAAGATTGAGCAATCAGAGATCAGATATCAACTCAGTTTGCGTAGTTGGCTGAGGGATCGATGATCGACACTGACCTCGTTGTAGTAAGCCCCTGAATTGGGTGTGATGGCGCTGACTGCTGCCATACTTTGTTTGAGCTGAGAGATGAGCGCGTCGATTTCGCCGGACGTAGCACCCTCGTCCCAAGACTCGCCATAGGCAACTTCGACAAGCGCATCGCGCCAGGCAGGATTGACGGCGACAGAATCAGGGTCGATCCTGGAGACTTCACCTCCTGCCACGAAACTAAGAGAACGCAAATAAGCACTATGCACCAGAGGGATAAAATTAGATTGATGCACTCACTTCCAGCTATAGCCTCCAGGAAGGGCGAAGAGCGTTTTCGCCAACTGCTCGTAGTTGTTTTCAAAGGACTCTCGAGGGAGCAGGCGAGAACTGATCTGAGAGTTTCCTCCGACTTGACCGGTTGTATTGAAGAGCGTCGTGTACCAAGAATACCAAGAATCAAATGGGACTGTGTAGTTTGAAACGATGAGACCCTGCGAGGTCAGATTCTGTGCGAAAGTGAAGAATGGGTCGAACGTTGCGTTGGCTTGGGCTACGGAGGTATTGGGGGCGATATAAAAAAATCCCATGGCCTCACTGCTGATGAGCGCGTAACCAGACCAGCCTGCATCAGAGATGGCGGGGTGAATTCGCGTGAACTCGGTGAACACTGTTTGCATCACATCCGTATTGGTCGTATTTGCCTCGAAGAACACGGCTGCAACGGGGAAGGAGGGGTAGGTATGGTAGGTCACATGAGTGACGACACCATAGGTGCCCCCTCCGCCGCCACGCAAAGCCCAAAAAAGATCAGGACGTTGGTACGAATTAGCAACCACGTATTCGCCAGTGGAAAGTACTACGCCCATTTCTACGACATTGTCGGCGCCTATGAATTCGGGTGAGTCAGAAGTGTAGAAAGTAAATAAGTAAATGTCGTTTACCGAGACCAAACGAGGGAGCAAGAGAACTGTGGCCACCTCCCAAGACCCAACCGCCAGCAGCACCTACCGATCCTCCAGCAGACGCTCCGCCAACCATCACTCGCCCCTGAGCTTGAATAGCGTCGTAAGCTTCATGCCATTGAACTCCAGCACCGAGAGTGATGGCTGAAATTCGTGTCTCAGAAAAAGAAGAAAAAACCTAACAGCAAACGGTAAAAAAACTGCTGTACCTTCGTATGACTCAGTTGCAGGTGCACCCTCCGGAACGAAAGAAGAATTATACGTGATATTTTTCATATTGTGAGTCCAGATCATGAAAGAGCCTCTTGCGGTGCTGCGTCCCAGGTAATCATGTCTACAAACAATATATTCGTCAACGAGAGCGTCGGGTAAACCGATGAAATACGTACCCTGTATTTTTTACCACCAGGCGGAGGTTATGTTCCACCGCAAAATTCACTGCAGCTTGGATATCACTAGGCTCCCGAGCGTCAACGCCAACCACAGGCACACTGCCTTGTTCGCATATCTTGGTGATAGTGGTGTTTAGGTAGCATGCATCGATGGTGCCGTTCTTGAACGTGAAGGTTTCCCAGTTTGTACTCTGCATAGCACCATCTTGGCTCGAACGCCAATTTCCATCGCCCCAGCCCTGGTTGACCGCTGTGCAGTTGCCAGAAGGGTCAGAAGGGGGATAACAGGGGGATGCGGGGGGGAGAGGGTGAAGTAGCGGCTGAGATATTTGGCCTTGCAGTTGATCGAACTGAGTGGTATTTGGCCAGCAGGTCTCACCGTATATACAGCGGCAGTCGCTGCTGGACGAAGCACAAGCTAGAGCGCCGAGACCGAGAGGAGCCAATACGTTGAAGACTCTCATTGCCGGTGGCAGGTTCCCCAGATTGCGCAGACAGTGCAATAGGTGCTTGTTGGGAGGTATTCTGGCGACGAGGATTCAATGAGATCCCACTTTATACAGAAATGCTATAATAACTTACCGCAGCTACTATGTCCGGCGTTAGTGACATCTTGACACCGCTAGAACCAGGCTAGGGCTGCGCAAGTGAACAGCAGTGACGCCGCACGAGTCATTCTGATATTTGGTAAGTTTTTCGAAAAACGACAATACAGCATCAGCCAAGAATAGCAGTTGGGAACTTTGGCTGCACATGCGCAGTGACTGCGTCTACAATAAATATCCGGCACATGTCAGTGAGCGCAGCATTTTTCCAAGACTTGATCCTTCTTGGCATAGCCTAGTAAGATCTGCAAAGGCAATATTAGCGTTCAAATGAACAAAGCATGAAACATTATGACACGTAAGACTTGAGAAGTAATCATGTACCGGATTCTCCTCCATAACAAGACTCGTAGTCTATGCCAACGGTACAAGCAGTGCCAGCAGGTATATTGATACCGCTGTTCACTTGCACCCGCCGAGGTCTTTGACAACAGAACGTAAGGGAATTTCGCTAAATTGAGTCGTGTAGAAGGCGAGTACAGGGTGCAATGATTAAAACTACAGAATCGTACATTTACTTGGTAGCAAGTTTCACAGGTCCATATGATTCACCCCAAATATTGTACAAGATAGAGATAGTATCATGCCAGTCATGGCTGTTCGATTGGCGTCGTCGAGGTAGCGTAAGAACCGAATCACAGTTCTGGGTTTAGCTTGGATGTTATGAGGGCGCCGAGTTAACAGCAAGATCACATGGGGATCGAGCTTGGGAAGCGAAGTCGGTGGGAGTTGCTGGATTGACGTTATTCACCTTGGATGGTGAACCGGATCGGCGAGTAAACACTCCCGAAGCTTTAAAATGTAATGATGTGCCACTATTCGTCTGAGAGCGAGCTGCAGGAGTGGAATGGCGAGGAGATGGCGTTGGATCGCTCGGATTGCCGGCTGGAAATTGCTTTGGTGGTCTCCCGTTGACGAAAGTAGGAGGGTAGATAGGCGTCGCATTTGGTGTGGCGGTGGACATTTTCCGTTTTTTAAGCTGGGGGGAAGTACCACCGCCAGCTTGTGCTGGAGCTGGGGGGTCATCCTCTGCAGCGCGCTTTTTATCTTGAGCGGAAGGAGAAACAGGTCTAGGTGCTTTAGTTGATGTCACTTTGATGGATTCAGGCAGATGCGCTGAATTGAGATCCAGAAAGCGTTTGCGTGCGACTTCGATCAAGTCTTCCTTCTTAGGTTGTGGCAACTTTAAAGCCTTCCACGGATATATAGACCGACTCTCATGTTCCTTCAGTGCCTTCCTATCTTTTTCTTTCCATCGCTTTGCCTCATCCTCTCGACATAACCATCCCATTTGCAGCAAGCGCCATAGAGACTTGCCACTGAAGGCTTGACGATCCGAAGCCGGATTTGCGAGCGTTTGCTCGTATGTATGCCATCCCATTAAAGGATCAAACAATTCAGGCGCACACGAGGTGGGTGGCATTGGTTCATGCGCGAAGTCGCGCACTTTGATTCCTTGACGTTGAATGTCTTCAACTATCTCCGGCTGAGTTAATTCACAAGGAATAATTTCCGTGGGCGCAGGAGAAGGCGCTGCAGCCGTTGGAATCTACAAGACTCATCAGCGATTGCTATAATTAACGGGTAGTGTAATTAACTCACCGGTATGTCGTCATCAAATTCAGACATATTATTGGAGGAAGCGGGAATGTTGACAAGTAGTTCACTCTGAGTGCGACGAGAAAACGGGTTGGAGAAACTTGAATTTGGATGTTGTGGCTCTGAGCGAGTACGCTCAATTACAGCACTGTCGGGCTGATCGTACACAACTGATAGCGTTCCAGGAACTTGGGACTGGAGCGTGAATTGGAGGCCGAATGGACCATGTACTGAGAAAGTTCGCATTTACAGAGCTGGGCGATAGTAGAAAGTTGCAGATCAAGTTGGGGGAAATGGTAGAGATAAATTGCAATTTGAGCTTTCTCTGATGTTGATAAAGCTGAACGCTTGATCTTGTGTTAACCGATGTTATTGTTCTGGTTCCAGAAAAGCCACACCACCGCGACCAAGCACGCGAACTAAAACCAGGACGGTCAAAGCAACAATCCAACTATTGTTGCTGCATTCAGTGGACTTGACAAACGACCGGCGTGGAATGTTTGATAAATAGCACCAGATGAAACGTTTATACTTGTGCAAATGCTGCAATTTTTGCGATAGACTACAATGTGGTTGGAGGTGAAAAACAGAGAAACCCCTGCGGTGGCGAGAAAAGAATCGGCATTTGCCATGAGCCAACTCCGAACATCCACAAATGGACCGCGTGCATCTTGTTTCATATCTTCCATGCCAGTGGCAACGGTTAAGAGGCTCTTATGGTTTTTGTCGTGTAACACAAGCTTTGAATCGCAACGAAACGCGTCTTTTGTTCTCGCAGAATCGGTGTGACTCGAAGGATGCGTAATACCCCACAGGGAACATCGAGTCTGTCACATTTATCATGTGGACTCCAGTCTCGAGACGCATCCATGACAAGGAACGTGAATGGAAGGCAGTTGTACAATTGTCGTGTCGGTGAGCTCCATGATTGCGTCTTCGAGACGCTGTTTGTGTTCATCCTGACACCAAATATATCGTGCTAGGGGAAAGCAACTTCGAAGACCCCGCGGGGAATCCGTACCCCCGTTCTTCTATTAAGTACTTCCAAGGTTTTGGTATAAGCATTTGCCTGGTGTGAGAAATACCAAGATCATAATGGTACTAAATCAGCATTCTTGCCCAGTTTGGTGTCAGGACATACTAAGTTCAACACGATTCCTCAAGCACGCAAATTATCTATGGAGATAGTGCCGTCAATGTCCAAGTTATGGTACTTCTTCTTGCAGAATGAACGTGTGTCTTGCATCTTCAGGATCTTGGCCTCTTGACCTTCGTCCCTCGAGGTTTTATTGATCTGTGCGTTAGAACTTATCTGCTATATGCGCACACTGAAGTTTGCCTCAGACGACATCTTAACAGTGGAGAATGGGTTCAGTGAGCACGAAATTACTTTTTGTATTGTAAGGTACTAAAATGGGTAAAAGTTGCATCGCTCGCTCTTAGCAAGTGCCTCAAAAACACGAAAAATGTATGTCCGCCAATTGACCACAGCCACGGGTAGCACCACTCGGGAATTGAGGGTTGACAGACTGACGCGGAAAAATGCAGAGACAGCGACAAGCGTTATTGCTACGCTTACATATTGGCAGGGATTCCCAAAACTCAGACTCCAGCCCAGGATTCCTCCGTTGAGCAAAGGTACCCGCTTTACAATCGGGGACGTTCCCTTTCCCCCGTCAGTCTTATCCCAGTCTGAGATACATTGCTTTCAGCGAATCATAAAAAACCGACAAGACTAATACTGAAGTACGATCCATTTTTTATGGTTATATTAATATCGCTGCGAGAGCTACGTGAGGCTTTTGTCAATGGGATCTTACACCAAACAAACCCAATCACCAGTCGCAATTAGCGTGAGGATAGGGATAGAGACATGAAGATCACTAGCGGACTCGACATCGTTTGCATACCCAGAATTATGCAATCAAAGATCTTCAAACCATCTGCTTCACATCATCAACAATCGTCATGAACCTCTCCTACGTTTTTGGGCTGCAGGTTTGTCCCGCAGAGTATATAAAGTAAGTGGAATAGATAACTTTGTTCCCTCGGCAGAGATGTAGATAAACCGAGTAAGCCAGGGACTCCGGTACCCATCTGATAAGCTCCATCGTTCAACCCCCCTATCTACCGAATCCGTCGTATTCATCGTCTTCGATTGATGGGCGAAGCCGGGACATCGCAATTTAACAGTTCTGCGCGGTCATGGTCATATGGGTATTACTTATTTATATCTTGACCTTTTCTTCCTCCCGCTCATCAGCCCCTCATGGAACAGCGGCAAACTGAAGATACCTCTGTGACACTCGCCTCCGCCCGCTATGATCTATCTGTCCCAGACTATCGCAGCTTCAAGGCGGCTTACATCTACACGAATGACTGCACTCTGAAAATCCCACAGATTCAAGCAAACGACTTCCATCTTCACTCATCTGAGCTCCTCGTTCTCGCGGATAATGCCACGATAGATGCATCAGGAACTCCTGGAAAAGATAACGTATCCCCAGATCCTTCAGACGATAACGAGGAAAATGGTGGAGATGGCCACGATGTTTTCATAACGTCTGCAGATTTTGACGTGAATAAAACCCTTACCATCATCGCGCGAGGTGGTAATGGAGGGAAGGGTTACCCGGGCAATCCTGACGCATCCTCAACAGAAGACCAAAATGGTGGAGATGGTGGTAACGGAGGTGCTGGTGGTTCTATCTACCTCCTATCACTCGACACCTTCTCTGTTGCATATAAGGCTTCCGGCGATTTCTACTTAGAGGCTAACCACGCAGAGTGGATGAGGAAGGTATCCCTTTGGCTTCAGTCCTATCAATCGACAATTCAAAAACCTCAGTATCTCGTAGACCTCATCGCCAAATATGCCGACACTTACGAAACTATGGCTTTCGGAGAAGCTCAAGGAGCCCTCTCTAACGTCTTGGATGATTTGAATGGTGAGAGCGAAACGTTTTTGATAGAGAATCATGTCGATGTCAGTGGAGGTGATTATGGCACTGGTGGACAGCGTGGTCCTGTACCAGGACAAAATGGGCAGTCTGGTACTGGAGGCACTGCGACAAGGGAAAGGATGACAAAACAACGCATTCGTGACTCCAGCGAGATGCATTTTCACCCTGATCAGATCGCTATGACCATCAGAGACATAGAGGACGGTTACTTCATCGGGAGCAAGGCTTCTTTGGACAGGTCTCTGGCATCCATACGCACTTTGGTTGATCGGCTAGATTTCCTTCCCGATCTTGTTCCGTCGGACCCGCTCTTTCAAGCGTATAACAACGAGGATAAGATATTCATCATCCCATCTAAAACCGACATACCTACTTCCATCACTTCCATCCAGCAAAGCCTATCGAAAGCACTAGGTTATGCTTCTCAGCTTGGCCAAGGTCTTGATTTTTACGGGCACACGGCGACTTGGGTTCCCCAAGGATCATACGAGCAATACGGAGCCCAGCTTGATCATGTTTTGGATAACTTTGCAGCCATCGAGACTAATTACGAGACATTTAAAGACGAAGCAGCGACTGAAGCCCAAAAGCTGGACGTGATCAAGCATAGTGAGGAAACGGCTAAAAGCGTCATTCAGCGCGCAAAGAATGATCAGGGTCAGCTACAATCAGAGCTTAACACAACCGCTTCACTCATCCACGTGCTCTCTTCCGATCTCCCAAACAAACGAACAGCACTCGTCAAGGAAATCGACAAACTCGCAGATGAGATCAAAAATGCATTCCAAGTGTCGTTTGCTGATTTCATCAACGGAGTCACGCAAATGGTGGGTACAAACAGCTTGCAAGGGATACTTAAGGACGTCTGCGATGGTGCCGGATTCATCAACGGTCGTATGGATACAGTCACGGACGATTTAGGGGTGAAAGTCAACAAGGATTATATTGTCAATAAGGTGACTTTGCATTTATTTTCTGAGAACTTGATCTAACTGACGCGCTCTGGCGTGCAGATCACGGTTATTGGTGGTGAAATCCAGGATCTTCAAGAGGGTCTGTCGATGGGTCATGGTGGCGAAATGGCTGTCGATGATCCTGGAGCGGCGAAGTTAATATTGGAAGAGAATAACCTGATGGATTTGATCGGGAAATACAGGAACATCTTGGGTGACAATGAGCTGAAAACTGTCAAGTCAATGTTTGACGACTACGTGAATGCGGTGTCTGCGCGTAACGATGTTGTAATGCATTACAATTCGTGTCTCCAGCTGTGGTTGCAGGCGGACGACACTATCACCTCCCAGCAACAACAGCTGGACGACCTTGGCCGTATAGATCTTACCATCGATACCAACTTTTTCAGCATATCCGCCTTTGTCGAACAGGCCTATTTCTACACCACAGCACAGGTCCTTAGGATACTATACCTCACAGAGCGTGCATTGAAATTCTGGTCACTTGGACCTGACGTCTCTGATATTTCCGTTCTCCGCGAGGGAGGATTCAGGCAATCTGGACTCTCAGCCGCTCTTATGTCCGCCAAAATCAATATACTAGATGCCTTCAACACGGCCATCGAAGGATTCACGAGCCACAGTCAAATATTTGGCAAGACGCCTGGGCAGGAAGGCGGGAGCCCTATCAAAGTCTTCCTCACCGATGCTCAGCTGCAGGATCTGCGAGGAGCTGGAAATACCGTCATTCTGGCCATTCCCGAAGCATACTCTCATACATCTATAGTGGACAACCCGTTCTCGAGTTGTGCCGACGTTCGTCTGACCTACGCACGCTTTTACATCGACGGGGCGCAGACGGCAGATGGCAACCTGACGGTGTCACTCCAGCACTCGGGCAGCGAGAGGATTATCGGCACGGACGATCGCGTGCACAATTTCACGCACAATGCGCTGAACGTCACGTTCAAATACGAGCTTGCTACCCGCGATGTGCTCATGGATGGCAATCTCGTCAGCGCTGTGGATAACGTCTATGCACTGATTGGTCCTTTCACTTCGTGGCGCGTTAAAATCTCTGATGTGTACAATGACTTGCCTGACTTGTCGAATGTGACGTCCGCCTGGTTTGAGTTCTCGGGCTATAGCAGGTCATTTGATGCTACTCGAGCATTCTAGCACTGGAACCCCCCAGGTCCGCCATCACCTAGTTGACTTTTTACTACTAAGCGTTGCGGACAAAAGGTGGATATACCGCGACGATGAAGAAAGTGGATTGCCATTTTACAGTAGGATTACAAGTTGCAAAGCTTATGAGCTTCAAGTTCTGCGTCAGTTGGTACAATATAAGTACGACCAAAATGATATTATCTAAACCTTCCAAAAAAACAAAAAAAGGGCTTGTCAGGCGCGTGTCAAAATCATCAAAATCGTGAATGCATGTGAGGGAAAGCAACATAACGAATTAACCAGAATAAATAGCACCCAACTCTAACTCTATAACTCTATGCCCATGTTAACGTCAACGTCAACACTCGCCCAGCTCGCGTCTGATGGTTCCGACCCACGCCATCGCGAGATAAAGACACCCAGCAGGGACGACGCACTGCGCGCGTACCACACCCCAGTCCCATCTCCGCACACTACGAACATCAGCACTCCCACCTATTGGTGGTATCATACCTTTCCCAACTCCTTGTCCAGCACCTGAATTTAGATTTAACCTTGAATTGGAAGATCCATTGGATCCACCCCTTCGCGACATCTCTGACGTGCACGACGAAGACGACGTGTGCTTCGACGCGTACCCAGGCTTGCTGGGTGACGATGCGCGGGAAGGCGTCGCTACAAGGTTACTCGTCACCCATATTTGTATGCTCCTACTCACGCACGTCGTCGTCCCAATGACAGCCCAGCATACCTCGGGCCGCACGGTCGTCCATCTCAGGAGGATGGTGTCTAGTTCTAGTTCCAGTGCTCCTCGCGAGACACTGCGATCGAGGAAGCAGTCTGCATTTGCACCTAGACTGCCGAGAACATTTAGCGTGAAATGTGTGGCAGGCCAGCATATTGCTTGTAGAGCTAAGAGACGGATGAGCGTCGGGAGGGGTGGGTAGTATGCTTGCCAACGTCGGAGGAGGCCGGTAGTAAGCGCCAGACATTGGGCGGCTGTTAAAATTGCCTGTTAGTTATGATCAAGAGTGGGCGTATGCGCCAGTATGGTGCACGTTCGTGACGATAGTCACAACAAAGTGAATATATGCGCGTTTCACGTATGATATTTAGTTTAAAGAAAATGACGTGAAGATCAGCGTATGACTGTTGTAATTTCAAAGACGGGCGTACCCAGAGCACAGCGATGAAATAGTCTCCTCGATCAGGCAGTGTTTGACGACCCCATTTGTCCCATTGACATTCGGGACTGGAATCCGAGTTATGGATGATTCCTCTTGGAGGACGCCATATACTCCATATGTTGACCACTGCACCAACGAGCGCAGGCACTACGGAAAGGAGGCGAGAAGCCTCGAAGAGTACAGAAGTAAGTGTGCTTTGAGGCACGAGGGGCGCAGAAGCAGGCAATATTCGCGTCGTTGGGAGGTGCCGCGGCTGATAATGGTTTGACGTCGACGATCGTTACGTGTAAATGCGAGAGAAAGTAAGGAGATAGCACTTACAGGTTCGTCAGCTTCGGTCTCTGTCTCTCCAGCACCCAACTGACCTGCCTTTGTAGTTATATGCGCGGATTTTGTCTTTCCACGCCAACTACTGCCTACGAATGCGCGTAGACTTGTGCTGAGGCCTGCCGACGTGCCATTTAGACGTTTCGGGAGAACAGTGTTACCTTCAGAAGCGCTCGAGTTGTCAGGCCGTGGGGAGGCTCTCGATGCAGGATCACGCGTGCTGGGACGTGTAAGATCGCCAGCGCTGTTACTCCATGTCCTACTCCTCCAGGCAGTATATATCGGAGTTCCCTCGCCTGGATTCACGTCAGTGTCCTCGTCGTCTTCGGACTGATAGTTTGGCGGGTGGTGAAAGGTGCGCATGCGAATGTGTTGGGTGTCGGGTGCAGATTTGCTGGTGGCAGGTTGGTGGTAGTGAGGGGCACGTAGGAGGGGCGACGAGGCAGACTTGGTAGGTGTTCTGGGTGTCGAGGGATACGACGGTGAGGATGCGGAGGAAGACGCGGAGGAAGACTTGGTTGGGCGAGGTCTACGGGAGACAGGGTAGGCGTCTGCAGGCGTAAAAAGAAAGTTGGTCGAAGGAGATGCCGAGAGAGTGTGCCGGTGAGTGTCAGGAGAGATTGAGTTGTCGAATGCTGGAGTGAGTCTGAGGTGGTGGGAATAACTGGACGACCGCTGTCGATGACATGGTTAGTGAAAGAAATTGGGTGTAAAAGAGAGTATTTATGATTTACCTGCAGAAGTGTACCTCTGGTGGTTTAGTCTCAGTATTTCCTGTAAAAACCGTCTGACGAGCCTCTGACGTCTTGTCTATCCGTGACGTTTTTCAAACCTCCACTGCCAATTCAAATCGGCGAAACATGGAAAACTCGTTCCTCTCGGTGGCAATACTGTTATCGTGTTAGACTTTATTACGAAATCACTTCCCCTTTTCGTACCAAAATCTGGAAATCGAATATCAGTTTATCTTTGATTGGGCTGCATCTATATAGCTCTGCATCTATATAGCTTTCAAAAGGTCGTGTTATGTGGAGTTAAAATATCAACTTTGTCACTACTGGATTCAGCCTACTCCAGTTCATCATTCTCCCAGCTGCCAACTTCCAGGTTCTTACATCGCCATGTCCGATATCCAGGCTACACCTTTTGCTACATCCAGCGAGGATGCAATCGCACGAACAATCGACATCGAGTCTGACCATTCTGCTGTGCGGTTCAATTCAGATACTCCTCTTTTGGATCACATATCCGAGTTCGAGGACTTTTACGAGATCGAAAGAACCGCTAGAGATATCGTCGATGGGGGTTTCAAACGAGTACGCACAACGTGTCTTACTATCTATTTCTCACCGTCTCACTGAGATTCATAACACACAGGTCGCCCTCCAATTTCCCGATTTACTTCTTCCAGATTCGGTACCCATATACCGCCTTTTAAAGCGCAGAGTCGGCGAAGCCCACGAGCTCTATGTCCTGGCAGATACTTCTTATGGCAGGCATGCATAATTGTCTCTCTGTTCCAACCAAGGTTTACCTGACTTCATCTTTGGCTTTTATCGTTCCTCGTTTGTTCACTGAAGCTGCTGTGTGGACGAAGTGGCAGCTCAGCACGTTGATGCAGATTTTATGGTACATTATGGACATGCGTGTATGAGCCAGTAAGTTCACGCTTCTAGTTTGACTTTTATGTTTGGCTGGACTGCAAACGTTGTGATGGATAGGTCTAACCACTTTCCAGGACGTATCGTCTACCTGTCCTATATATTTTTGGCAGACGGCCCATTGACGTGGATGATTGTGCAACTCAGCTAGCTGACACTCTGAAATCGTCATGTTCAGGCTCTGATCCATTAGAGTCTAATAAAAAACCGGTTATTCTGCGTCATGATGTCGCATATACGTACCAAGCTGGTAAGAATATGTGCTCCATCTGGCAGTAAGGCCAGATACTAATAATTTTTCATGCAGATACAATCGTGGCCAAAGTACGCGAACAACTGGAAGCACTTGGTGTTTCTGTGCCCGTGCTCTATCAAACCTTACCGTCCAGGTTTAGTCCTCCCGCTCAAAAGGATGCGGATGTCACGACTTCAACGCAGTTACCCATTAAGGGAGACTTGCCTGTGACGCTAGAAAATGGTGTTATTCTTTATATTGGTGGCGAGAGCTTAGGGCTCACAAATCTTTTAATGACACATGCGTCGTGCGATGTCAGTATAACCAGCATCAGTATACATTTGTTTGCTGACGGTGCGCTGAACGGTTGGATTTTATGCAGATATACTCATACGACCCCAGTTCAAAAACCGTGAGGCAAGAGTCTACTCGCACGAATAGGCTCCTCATGCGCCGATACGCGATAGTGCAGAAGGCAAGGGATGCAGACGTCTTTGGGATTCTGATCGGTACACTTGGTGTTGGTAATTCTCCCTTCATTCTCCCCTGGGTTTTGTCACTTTTAATATCTTACGTGCGGTCTTTTCCGTGACTCGATGTGGAATCAGCATCTTATCTTCCTCTCATCTCACATATACGCACGCTCCTGGCGCGCGCACGCAAGAAAAGCTACACGATTAGCGTAGGCAAGCTCAACCCTGCAAAACTGGCCAACTTCATGGAGATCGAATGCTTCGTGCTCGTCGCATGCCCAGAAAACAGCGTGATCGAGGCGAAGGTTTGTTATAGTAATGCTTCATTCCAATTCGTCTGCTAATTGCAATTTTAGGAATTTTACCGCCCGATCATTACGCCCTATGAATTGGAAGTAGCTCTGCAAGCTGAAGGCACGTGGACGGGACGCTACGTATTGAATTTCGAGACACTGTTGTCTGAGCATGCGAACGAGGACCAGAGTTTCGGTAGGTTTGGGTTCTGTCTGCTTGAATTTAAATCTAATCATCATAACCAGCAACTGCCAACGAGGAGGAAGACCCCGATCGACCCATGTTTTCACTGGTCACAGGAAAGTATAGGCATGCAAAGCGATACGGAGGTATGTACTCAAACGTCTACCTTGTACCTAGGTTGTTGTAATGGTAATTCGATAGGGCACGAGGAAACGACTGAGGGAACCAATGAGGCCAATCCCACGGCTGTTATTCTGCGGAATCAAGACGGAACTGTGTCGAGGCTCGACGATAGCGCTGCAGGTAACGTTTCGTCTGCTGTACCTCTACCAGACATAAGACTAACGATCATGTATTATGACTGTTTAGGCCAGTTTTTGCAGTCACGCAGCTATCGTGGACTAGAGACTAGAACGGGGCAGGATGCACCTAGTATCTTGGAACAGGGGCGTAGTGGTATTGCACGAGGATACAGTGATGACCATAGGTAAAGCTAGACGATGTACGGTATACTGCGCTTGGAAACAGACGATGTGCCGGGACTGAGCGAATGTGACCGGCTGATAAGTGTTTTTCCCACGCCTGTAATTTTTGGGCCGTTGAGCTTGCGTGCAAACTCGTTCTCCGCCTTTCCGCGTGTCGTGCGCGTCTTTAGCAATGTCGTCCGCTTCCACCACCACCACCACCCAGTCTTTTGTCGAGCGCGTCCAGGACTTTGTCTCGGAAAACAAACGTGCCATCATCGTGGGCACTGCTGCTGCTGCCATTGCAGTCGGTGGTGTCGTTTACTATGCCTCATCTTCGAGAGCAAACAGTGACCTCGAGAAGGCAGAGAGGCGGCCAAAAGACAAGAAAAAGCCAAAAAAGCGGAAATCAGCAAAGGACAACCAACCCATTCTCGAGGAAATCGTCCCCAGCAAGGTGGAAGAAGGTGAACACCGTTTCGTGGCGAGCATACACCTTATTACTCACTGCGACTGCTTTTTTTTTTTTCGCATGGCAGAGGATGTAGTGCTCACGGCTGAGCAGATTGCAGCTATGCCTGACAAGGTGAGTGACAGGCGCTCTTGCTGAGCATGCGCCTGTTTTTCTCATGGAGTGGTGCTAGGAACGGGCCGAGGCAGCTGCTTCGCTCAAAACCAAGGGTAATAACCTGTACAAGCAACGCAAGTTTGCTGAAGCTGTCGAGTTGTACACGAGGGCCATCCAGGTGGCTTCGAAAGCAGACCCAGTGTTCTATAGTAACCGTGCAGCATGTTCGTTTTTTCACTCGTATCTCGGGTCATCCCCCTTAGGAACCAATATTCATCATTCCTGATTTGTACAGGTTACGTGAACATGTCCCCACCGAAGCATGAGCTTGTTGTGCACGACTGCGACGAAGCCCTCAAGCTTGACTCGAACTATGTCAAAGCCTTGAATCGTCGTGCAATTGCACTTGAAGGACTCGAGCGGTATGAAGAGTCTTTGCGTGGTATGTCCTCTTCAAGACGCACGTCTTCCACGTTGTTTTAAGTTCGCCACGAAACCTTAGATTTCACTGCCGCTACCATATTGGATAAATTCCAGAACGAGACGGCAGCGCAGTCAGTTGAGCGAGTCTTGAAGAAAATCTCGACGCACAAGGCAAACGAAATCATTTCTGTACGTGCTAGTACTCTATCGACGATCTCAGTCGTGCTCACACACAGATAAAGAGCCGTGAACCCAGATTGCCCTCCTTCACCTTCATTTCTGCTTATTTCGCTGCTTTCCGACCACGTTTGTCCATTCTTCATCAATATGTGACACTCTAGTAACACGTACATTTCTTTGCAGGATCTTTACCCACTCTACCCGAAAACCCCACCACTGGTGATAACACCTTGATTTTGGCGCTCCAAGCCCTTGAAGCTGGAGATTACTCTCATTCTGTTGTGCTTGTTAACGAGGCTGTTGACCAGGGTATCTCATGGGGGGCTGGTGAGGCTGAAGCGCTCAACCTCCGCGGTACTTTCAAGTGCGTGCTGGTCTTGCGATGGGAGATCATATATATGTTGCTAATCATGTTGCGTTAGGTTCTTGATGGGCGATGTTCTGGGCGCAAAGGCAGATTTGCTTCAGTCGATTTCACTACTTCCGTCATTTACTCAGAGTCTTGTCAAAGTTGCGAGTGTGCACATGGAGCAAGGGGACAGGGAGAAGGCCTTTGAGTGCTTCGAGGAAGCCATCAGGCAAGATCCTAACGACGCTGATGTGTACTACCACCGTGGGCAAGGTAAGGGCCTGCAAACATGCACTTGTCACATGGTCGCTAAGTCGAACCCCCAGTGTTGTTCATTACAAATGAGTTCGAAAAGGCTGCAGAGAATTATCAACAGTCCATGAATTTGGACGATACATTCGTATTCAGTCATATACAGCTGGCTGTTGCGCAATATAAGATGGGCAATGTCGCGAATAGTATGGCAACTTTCCGGAGAACTCTGACTGCGTTCCCCCAGCGCAGTGAACCTCCGAACTACTAGTGAGTGCTATTATGTTCATCAAAGTTTTGTTTTATCTGATGCTTTGTACGTAGCGGTGAACTGCTACTTGATCAACAACGGTTCCAGGATGCGGTAGAGAAGTTCGAGCGAGCTATCGAAATCGAACGGGCAAAGTGAGTAGCGTCTTCATGTCTTTTGAGCTATTGTTTAGATGATATTTTCAGAGCACCTCCTATGAACGTTCTATCACTTGTTAACAAGGGTCTTGCGCTATACCAATGGAAACAGGACATCGGTGCCGCTGAAAGGTGTTGTAACGAGGCTCTTCGCATTGACCCCGAGTGTGAAGCCGCTGTTGCTACTATCGCCCAGCTGAGCTTGCAGCAGAGCAACATTGAACGTGCCATCGAGATGTTCGACAGGCAGGCCGAGTTGGCGAGAAGCGAGCCTGAGCTGATCAACGCTCTCACTTACCGATACGTGAGTATGGCTACTGTGGCACTCTTCACATGTATATTGACAATGTTTTTCAGGCATCCGCTGCTCAGATGGACTTTATGAAGAACTACCCAGACATGGCCAACCAGCTAAATCAAATGGCGCGGACAATGCAGATGTAGTGGATATAGTAGAGCATTGGGCATTAGAGCATTGGACTAGCCTTAGCGACGTCAGCACTGTCAAAAAACACCTATAATTAATCACATATATTTCGTCTTATCTCCTGAGCAATATCACTCCTCTCATGCAATCTTATTCTCAAAAAGTACAAAATCCAAGAATCCAACGATAAGTATTTCGAATATAACAAATGGAAGCGGGGGAATAATGTCATGCTGGTATATGTGCATAAGTGATATCCTACTAGGGTGATAGTTATAAAACGAACGTAAAATGAAGGGGGCCGATACAACGGTTACTATATTGCTATTTAATAATATTTTATCTTCACTGGCAAGAGGTAGCGTCACGAGAGAATCACTGAACAGGACTTAACGTATGATTTTGTGGCCAAAGATGTAACGAGATTTAGCGGTCTCCTCGCCGCTCATCGACCACGACGTTCATCCACTGTATGACAGCTTCCTCCAGCATCTTCTCCCACCCATCTTCCCTCCTCGCGACAAGGCGGGGGTCGAAAGTGATAGGAGGCTCTGTAGTGGGGAAGCGGAACTTGGATGGTGAACTGGAGGGTGTGATCTGAGACGGTCTGAGCTCCGAAGGTCGATCTGACGTTGATGGTACGATGATCGGAAGAAGATAGCGTAACTTCAAAGCTCTGTAGACAGTAGCCTTATGAGGACGGGTGTGAAAAATGATGTGATGAAAAAGGTACTTACGCAGCCCATAGACGCAAGTTATCGGTTCGTCTGAACGTCCACCCTTTCTTGCCTTTTTCCTTGTCGTCTTCGTCTTCGTCTGCTGCTTGCTCGAGAGAGATGATGTCGTGGATGGAATCGACACTGATGTATCCCCATGGTCTGCGAGAGCGACGAACGCCGGCGTTGTATGCTACGCAGAGCAGTTGACCAGACGAGATGCCCTGTAGGAAGACGTGGCGCTCTTCGGGAGATGGCAGTGATGAGAGAAGATGTTCAGGGAGGAGAGCTCGGAGAAGAGCGTGAGTTCGACCTATTTATGGATAGATATAAGCAAAGACGTCGCAGAGGATGGATAAAAGCAAGGTAAACTAACCAAATGCATCATCAGGGAACAACCCTCGCTTTGCCCAGTCAGGCAAATCCTCCTCGTCTACGCTCTCTTCTTCAGACACAGTTTCCATCTCCTCTGGCTCTTCGCTGAGTGACATGTTGGCTATTGCGTCCAGCATACCGGTAGAAACTACCCTGCGTGAAGGCCGTTCACTTGGATCGGGGAAACGGAAGGATTGCCCTTCTGCGTCACCAGCGCTTACTCTCCTGCCTTTGCTCTTACTTTCCTTATCCCTTCTCATTATGCGCTCGCGCTCGCGCTCCCAGCCTTTCTTCCCGCCTTTTGCCCCGCCAAAAAGTACATCGTCCACCATATCCACGTATTTTTTTACAGCGCATTTTTCCTTTCCGAGATTCTCCAATCGTATATCTTGTTTATACAGCCATCCACCGCCAAGAACAAGTCGTTCGTCCCAATGATCGCGTCTGTCAATTTCCTCCTCGCCTGTATTGAGTGGTTGGCCATCTTCATCGTATACTGGTAGAGGTTCGTCACGCCCCTGAACACGCACGTAGGAAAACGACATGTCGGGGTCCACATTGGGAAGGTCGACCTCATAGTCGGAATGGAAGCTTGGTGACGCGACGCGCGAGTGGGACGTTTGCCCCTGGGATCCATGGTCACTTTGTGCATCATAGGCTTCATCGGATAGAGGGACGCGTGAGGCTTCTTCGAGCTCACGCAACACAGAAAGAACCTCCAAAGCTGACTTGCGGATCATGCTCAGTGGATCTGGTTGCGCTTTAGGTTGTGATACAAGTCGTTTGGGCGTTGGGCCACCAGAAGCTATTTTTGAACGGAATTGGGCGCGAAGGGTGCCGGCTGATTCGTCTGGGAGGGACAGAACGTAGTTACGCACGGATCGTATAGCACGCGTTGTGATCTTGAGAACGTTGAGAACGTCAAAGTTTCCTGGAATACCCTCTTTTGTCTCTGCACTTAGTAACTGAGGGTCATGGGAGGGGCCAGCGGCGAGGTGATCGTCGAGACTCCAAGCATGAGCGGTAGATATGATATCTTCAATCACACCTGGAAGTAATACTTCTGGATTTGTCTCGTATGTTTTGACGATGGGAGGGAATGCAGGCCTTGAGATTTCTGGCACGATGGGTGATGGGGGCAGCTGGAATTCAGCTATACCGCCGAGGGATGGTTTTGACCTGAACGCTGCGAGACTGCCAATAGCGGGTACCAAGTGACCCTTGTTTAATGGGCTTTTGATGACTAAGTACAACACGCCTCATGTTGGGACAGAATGAAGACTTACATGCTTTTAGCAGCGATGCCAGTCTTTGTAAAGTAGTGCTGCAGGTGCTCGATGCTTCCCAAGGCCATGACACTCTCCCGTTTTGCTGCAGAGCGACTGAAAGGCTTTACAGGCTTATTTGACGAGTTCATGTTTGGGTAAAATGCGGTATGTCTCCGCGTTTTCTTTGCTGTGCCCGAAGGTGAGTCTGGAGAGCCTGTGTAGTCTGGAGTAAGGGAAGGTGTGGATGAGGGTGATTCTGATAACATGTTTGTATCTACGCTACGATTATAAGTAATAGTGGAAAAGTGCTGCAGTGCTGCAGGTTGCTGGAAAGGAGTGATTGGGGAATTGATGGTCCAGCCTTGAATCAACGTGTGGCTGAGCACCCCCGCTTCATATGGTCTGCATTATGTAAGCAACTATATATCCAAGGTCACGCGTTTCATTTTGACGTGCCATTCCACCATGGCCCATGCAAAGGACAAGCATTACTGGTTCCAGCTCAGAGCAACGCTGACCGCAGGACAATGGTCAGCTCAATATCCAGCAAAGGCTCCAAATGGTACAGCCTTGTCCTGGTCAGAGCTCTTGCGCAAGTTCAAGAAACATTGCAAGGGGTTTACGGAAGTAGCTGAAGTGGCTTCGCAGACGCAGGCTTTGGCTCTTCTTCTTGGTGCGAACTCAACCGACGAGGATCAGCTGGGAGACGAACACTCTATTCTTGTATTGGGAAATGACTGTATTCTGCCCGAGGAACGCATCGAGGAAGCCAGCGCAGCATACGAATCGTTACAGAAACTCAACTCCACAAACTTTGACGTATGCTATTTTGCCCAGTAATCTTTATCCTCTGATTTCACGCATATATTCAGTCTTTACATATAGCTCTGGCATACTACTCATATGCACTCGGGCGTCCAGCCGATTGTCTATCTCATCTCGCAAAAGTTTCAAACATCCCCGACGCGCAAAGTCATATACCTTCCGCCCCGACTACACGCTCAGATATTTCAGCATTGCAAGTTCCAGGCTCGCAAGCCGAGTCTTCTTCTTCCTGGACAAGCAGCCTCGTCTCTTCGGATTCGTGTACTTCGATCGCCGACATCAAAGATGGAAGAGCTTGGGCTATGACAGAATCAGTCCGAAGCATATGTCTCCAAGGTGAGCAAGTATTATACACATGCAATACCCGCAATAACGTAGAATGTAGGCATGTCGCTTGAGAAGATTTCGTCAGATCCCCAGAAAGTTCTCGACGTATATGCCACTGCTCTTCCCTTGCTCGATATCATAGAATATGAAACTCCCCGAACATTAACGGCATCGCCCTCTCCTACTTCTTTTACCAATTACCGTGAGCTATGGAGATGGGTGGAAAGACTGATATACAGAGCCATCACACTGGCCTCGCGGACATGTTCTCTTGATGAAGAACTTCTATGGTCTCTGTTCAAGCACTATCACTCCTGTAGTGTACACTGGCCCGCTACTTATAGAACCGAGCATCGATCCGTGATCGCCGTCCTACATCTCCGCGCATTAATTCTGCGTAATCGGTCCAGTCCTTCCATATCCTCCCCACATTCCCCTCTGCCATCAGACAAACCTCCCCAGTGGCTGGGCACCGCTCGGTCGGTTATTAAAGAATATCAAACAATTCTAAGTTCGAGCACATACTTCCCAAAAGCTGGACAGCATAACGTTAGAGTAGAGGATTTCGTCGATCTATGTGTGGCTGTGTGGGAGACAAGTGGTGCCTTGGACGATCGTGCACGCTGGGTTCTTGATGTGAGTGTTTATTCTTATGGCACGGTGTATAAATTTTAAATAATGACATACAGATCCTCTGGTGGGCTACACGTCTAACGTTCAATTCCTACCGTATTTTCCGGCACATGACACGCTTATTGTACGTCTCGGGGGATAGCGAACTTGCCAAACGCACACTGCGGCTTTACGTCCAAGTTGTAGGAAAGTCACGGGAAGCGGGCTTTGACGAGGATGCAGACACTGATCGACACTGGGTTGAGACGCTAATAGAGGGCTCGAGAATGTTATGTAGGCTGTCCCTGTCTAGAAATGATTATAGGGGAGCCGAAGAGGCAACTGAGGCAGGTGAGATGATCGAGAAAGCGAAGGTGAGGTTGGATAAAGACGACAAGGAACTTTGCTCTCGGGTTGATCTGGCAGAGGGTATCTGGGAGTCTGTCATGGCGATCACAGGTTCGTAGTTTTTAATCCTTGTTGCAATAAATTCTCAGCTCAGTTTATTTTTTGATCTAGCACAAGATCCTCATACACGTCCTGCACGTTTGACACAAGCTCTTTCGCATTTTGTCAAATCAATAGGTACATTCCCCACTCCTTCTGCTTATCACCACCTTGCCCTTGCTCTCGCGCGCCCTGGACCTTCGCAGGATTTGGACCAAGCGATCACGTGTGCAAGGTCTGCTGTAGAAGGCGAACCAAGGGAAATACGGCATTGGCATTTACTAGGATTACTACTAACGGCTGACGAACAATGGGATAAGGCCAAGGGCGTTTTGGAAGTTGGAGCAGGCATTGGAGAAAACGAAAGTGCGGTGGATCACAGTGAAGGAGATACGGTGGGAGACGTCAAGGAAGAAAAAAATCAACATGGAGAAGGATCTGGCTTGAATGGTGTCCAGACGAGAGAAGTTGATGCTGAGAAATTAGAAGGTGAAGTTGACAATGGGCATGCTGACTCGCAGCTGCAGAATGGTAATGGACATGTACCGGAAACTCTTGGGGGACAGGTATATCTGTTGAGCGAAGGTTCGACAACGGTGCCTCCTGCTGCGACTCTCCTACAGCCTCTTCCAGACCGACCACACCCGTCCAAATCTGAAGCATATAAACACGCCTTGCAGTTGAGGATGACACAGATGACGTTGGCAGAGCATATGGAAGGTCCAGAAGGCGCGGAGATGAGATGGGTGGACGTTTTCAGCTGGGTTGCAGAGCGGAAGGGCACAACCGAACCGCAACGTAAGTCCACCCTTCGTGCACCATGCCGGCGGACTCACACTTTAGTCTGTGGGTGCTGCTTTGGAATAGCGAGGTCGTCGATGGACACGGTTGCACAGTCTACGAATACGCGAGCGTTGTCGGAATCATCGCATTCTCGGGCTGGGGAAGTTATAGCGGAACCAAAGACGCCGACTACTTCGAATTCTCGTCCCGATGGACAGAGCTCGCTGGGGTTGACTCTGTCAAATACCCCGCAGGCGTTATCGGAGAAGGCACCTCCAATCATGATAACTCCGGCCACTCCGGCAGAGCCTAACTCACAATTTCACCTCGCTACTGATCCGCTGAATGAGAAGCGCTCCTTGTCGATAGATAGGGATACCTCTGCTGGTAAAAAGGTACAGCAGATGTTTAAGAACCGTGTGCATAAGGGCCAGGCAAGGATCACTACGATATCTAAAAAAATCGGGAATGGTATGGTCCGCAATCCCAGTGCTCGTCTTCGGCCTACAGGTTCTGCTCCAGGTTTGTGAAGACCCCCAGTAGCCCACAACAAGATTACTTACTCTTTTTCGATTAAAAAACAGATTTCCACTCAGTATTGCAGAATCACCATTATCAAGCATCCTCGATACATTCTCGACGTCGTCTTGGATCATTCACACATCCTCACCACTATAACGATTCTCCGATCGATTCTCCACCGCCCCCACCTCCTCCAACTCTTCCACCCGCCCAAGAGTCCAAGACCAAAAAAGTGACACGTGCAACTGGCGAGGATACATTGTTGAGCGATCTCTGGGCAATGTCAGCTGCCACGTTCCGGAGACTTGGGAAAATCGAACAAGCAAAAGGCGCGATACAGGAGGCGGAGGTGAAAGACCAGAACAATCCTGCAGTTTGGGTCCAGGTGGGTCTATATCAGTCGTCTATCTCGGGGCGTTAAATTGACCTTTTACAGCTTGGGGTGTACTATCATGCATTATGCCATGACAGACAAGCGATCGAAGCCTTCAGAAGGCTTTGTTCATCTCTCCCGACGACGTCGCTGCTTCCGTACATCTATGCCGCATTTATCTTATCCGCTGCCTCCTCTAAATCAAACCAAAAATCAGGCGCAGATGTTGACATGGATAAAGTAGATCTCGTTGCAGGCATGCTGGCATATGTCACTCGTGCGGTAGGATGGGATGTACCAGAGGCATGGTACTTCCTAGCAAAGGCGTATGGCTTGCAGGGTCGTAAAGATAGGGAGCGCGAGTGTTTGACTTTTGCGTTGACGTTGTCTGAGCGGAGGAGTGTTAGGGATATTGGGCTTGCGGTGGGATGGTGTTTGTGATCTTGGGGACTTGGTTGGAGTGGTCATTTTATCTTATACGCATCTTTCATTTCCCCCCTTTTTTTGCTGGAAATAGAATTGGTTTACTAGTGGTTAACGCTACAATGTCCTGCGCCGATGGTAGTGCCTGAGCAGTTCATTTTGGTCCTCGCGAACATTTTGCATGGGGTATTTCAAACAATGAAGATAACATAGTGAAGACATGGCATAATATATATATATACAAGGTGGCATACAGATTCATATGTGCACTAATACTGAGCTCGTCATATAGTTTGGCGAGAACAGACAAGGCAGCCTTCCACTTCCACAGAGTTATCATCGAGGCGTTGACTCTGACCACCAGACCAACGGCAGAAGGTCCCAGGCATCTTCCCATCCAGACGGATCGCATTCCTTCAAGTTCTCCCTCACGCCGTCCAGAGGCTGAGGGATCAGTCTGACGGTATAAGCAGCCCGCTCGATCCAGTCCAGCCTCTTCGCAATATCTCCACCTGCCTCATTAATGAGGTCTGGCCAAAGTGACTCTGGAGTCGTCAGAAAATCGCTGTGAATGCTGCCCGGGCTGATGACCAGCTTGTCCAAAGGTGGAAGATCGGCTTCGAGTCGAAGCTCAAGATACGTGGAGAATGGGGAGTGCCATAGGCTGGTGAGGGTGAGTTGGGAGAGAGAGGTGCCGGTGAGCGTCAGGTAGGGCTCGTCGGAGTCAGTCGTGTTGGGCGTGGAAATGGGGTGGAAAAGACAGTCGAAAACGTTATCAGAATGAATGAGTGTCAGAGAATCAAGTCGAAAGCTGTCCAAAACTGGGCAATCTGGTCGCAAGGCATAGGGCTTGGGAGTGACACCGTGCAAGCTGAGGGTGGATATATTGGTGAAACGGCTGAGCGAGGTGAGGAGGTCGAGAACTCCGTCTCTGTCGTCCCTGAAACACCGAGTTCCACAGAGCACAGTGGGCGTCGATGCGTCAGGGCAACGACCATAGTCCCGGACAGAGAGCGATTCCAGATTTGGGGCGTGGAGTGAGTCGGTGATGGAGACTAGAGACGCGGCGCGGGTGTAGCCGATAGAGAGCGATTGGAGCTTGGGGAGAAGGACGGGGAGAAGCAAAGCGTCGTCATCGTCGTTTTGCTCTATGGCGTTCAACGGGGAATCGTAAATCTCGAGGTGCTGTAAAGTCCTTTTGTTGGCGGAAAGAATGTCGCGAAGAACGCGAATGGGAAATTGAGTCCCTTGCACGCATGAGGTGTATTTGAGGGTGAGATGGGTGAGATTACCGGCAATCCAAGTGGACCAAACGACGCTGTTACCGAATGGAAAGGAAATATGTGGGCACAAGACTCCGGAAGAAACCTTCCTAGAAAACGAAAACTGCATTCCATCCTGGATCCGCAGGTCAAACAGTTCAAGAAGAGGATATCGTTGAGGGACGTTTCCTTGGAGAGCCGCAAAGACCTGCTCAGCGCAGATTTTGGGGCACGCGCGGACTGTGAGCTCTCGAACGCGGTGCTGAAGAGGCTGGAGGGCAAGTCTAACGTCGTGGTGGCTGAACGTGGGACTATAGACGTTGAGGTAGATGCTGATGGGGAGATTCTGGGAGCGCCTAGAGAAGGTATCTGTCCGGATCTGTTGACCTCTCAGCTTCTCTGCTGGGACGCGAAGAGATATGACGGTCCAAAGCTCAGGAGTGGTAAGAGCGAGGTGGCGCCAATATCTGCAAACGTGAGAGAGGACTCCTGGGGCCTTGGATTCAAAGAAGTAGGGCTCGTCGCATAATTTGAATATTTTGGTGAGGACAGACTTGGGGAGTCGTGTGATTGGGGAGGTGTAGAGTCGGGCTTTGGATTGAGTGGTTATCCCCATTGCCTGTGATGCGTATGTCGCAATGAGTGTGATACAAATTAGGATGTACAAATCTCAAACTTACTGTGATTATATGATCTTGGGTGGACACAAATTAGCGAATAGGGCGACGATGTTGATGTCTGCCCTATCCATCTTGTAAGCCAATTTATAGACGGAGCCGCTTGCATCGAGGTCGCTTTGAAAAAGCGTCTGGTGTTCAAAGCGTTCTTAGCGGGAGGCGTGATTAGCTTTGGCAGAGTGCTTTGGCCGGTCTGAATTTTCAGGGTGGTGAGGACCTTTTGCTCAAGCTTTGATTCCAGTAAAGGAAGTTGCAAAGCGCCAGAGGTCCAGAGAAGAACATGATTGCAAGGACATAGAAAGAGCCTGAACCTGGGCTACTTCCACATGTGAGCGTTAAAGCACTAGAAATCCAGGGAAGAAATGTAGAAAGAACCTGAGCCTGAGCCACTTCTGCCACGAGTAATATAATACTATGAATCAGAGTCTGTCGGGCATTACCGATTCAGACTCAGTGGCCTCCTCCTCGATTCACCACGGTGTTTCAAATTTTAAACTTGATTGAGGACCAGAACGTCAAATCCCCCCTCCCAGAGCAACAAAGGTCTTAATGTTGAGTGTCCTTCTGTGTCTTCCGCTGGCAAATTACTGAAACCAATCTTCTCATCTGGATAGTGGAGAAACGCAATTCCCAAAAATCGTTGAACGCAACGAGTGTAGTATAACTCCAGCTTTAAAATAGGGCAGTTTCAATGAGATATCCATCGTATGATTTCTTTGGAATTATTCCGGCATCCTTGTGCTATGGTGTATAGTTATTCCACGAACCACCTCAGTCTGCGACAATGAATGAGTTCTGTCACCGTGAAATTACTATTCGCTCGTTAGGTGAATTAGGGTACTGGCTGGTCCGTAGCCAGCATGGCAAGGGAACGAGGGTCTAAGGGATGGCCATGTTAATGCTTGTACTCTACAGAATCGGTGACAACAGCTGCATCTCACATATGCGCATGGTGACTGTACTTACAGGCGGTGCACTATGGATTATCACAGGACTAAAGTTTGCTTCCATTCTCTCAAACTTCTGATATACAGACACCGGGCGGCAGAAAGAACCTCAAGCTGACGATCCTTTTAAACTTGGCTTGGATGCGACTTCACTCGCCTTTGGTACCAACTACACCGGGTTGAAGACAATGGATATCGAGCCTCACCAGGGACAAAGTCTTAAACGTTGAATCCATTGAACTTTAGGGGGGTTATAAACATCACAGTAAGCGCTCTTATTGCGTCACAATCCTATTGTAGGCAAGATGCATACCAGTCTGAGCAGATTAGTAGCCATATTTGCATGCTACAGGTGCCTTATAAATTTTACATCGTGTATGATCATGTGTCTGATCCCTTTTTCTGATCTCCATCCCAGCTCCATCATCATGTTTGAAGCAATGAATACGCCTTCCTATGCCATTTTGTTTCTGGTTGCTGCTCTATTCAGTCTTGGGAGACGTTTAGCGCGAAAAACAGCAACTGGGGCTAGTCTGCCACTTCCTCCTGGTCCCCCTACATTTCCCATTGTAGGCAATGCATTGCAACTTGACTCTGTTGCACCATGGGAGACTTACATGAAATGGAGTAAAACCTATGGTATTAGCTTTGTTTTGACCGTATATTTTGTGTCTGAATGACTTCCCCCCCTTTCAACCTCAAAGGTGATCTTATCTACTCCCGCCTCCTCAATCAGGATGTCATCATCATTAACTCAGAAAGAATTGCAAGGGATCTTCTTGATAGACGTTCGTACAACTATTCAGATAGGCCTATGCTTGTTACGACAGAACTGTGCGTCCTTTCTTCTACACATGAACATACTTGCCTATTGATTCACTATAGTTTTGGTTGGACATTCAATGTGGGCTTTTTCTGCTACGGTGATAAGTGGAGAAAACATAGACGGATGATGGATGATAAGCTGCGGTCGACTGCAGCACTTGCCTATCGCCCTCTGCAAATGCGCAAGGCACATCAACTCCTCATTGATATACTTGAAGCACCCAATGAATTTGTGCACCATTTACAGATGTAAGCACTTGACCTTTGTATTTTAGCAGGAACATACGAAATGAACTTATAGTCAAATTTTCAGGATGACCGCATCTACAATGATGTTAATCACGTATGGTTATGAGGCAGAACACCGTGACGATCCTCTTGTTGACCTTGTTGAGAATGCTGTTATGCAAGGTCTGAAAGTCATGACACCTGAAGCGGCTGCTATCCTTGGTGCCTGGCCATTTCGTGAGTGCCAAAAAATACAAGGATTTTCAGACCGTAACATGTATATAGTTTTGTATCTTCCCTCTTGGTTTCCTGGAGCTGGGTTCAAAAAAAAGGCGCAGGAGTCCCGTAATATGTTGAACGAGATGGTTGAGAAACCATTTGAATATACAACATCGCACATGGTATGTATTCTTGCTCCGGGGCCAGGAATCTCCGGTCTAGTCTCATTTTATGGCATTTTAGGATTCCAACGAGGCCACAGCGTGCATGGTTTCCGACGTTCTTGGTCAAATCAAGGATGAGGGCAACTATGTTGATCTTGATGTAGTTAAAAATGTCGCATCTACTTTATTTGCTGGTGAGGATCACATCTTCTTGGTTACCTATACATTGTAACAGCTTACCATTTCTCTATAGGGGCGTCAGAGACTGTAAGTAGATTTCCTAATAACCTTATCCTGTACCTCAAAACAGCTGTCCTCAGACAACCGCTACTCTGGTCAGCTTTATTCTCGCCATGGTCCTTTATCCGAACGTTCAAGAGCAAGCGCGAGCGGAGATTGAGTCTGTCGTGGGTAGGGACAGATTGCCTAACTTTGACGACAGGGATTCTTTACCTTATGTTGAAGCTGTAGTCCGTGAGACGCAGCGGTGGCATCCTATTGCACCCTTGGGTGAGTACTACGCATCACTAGGGCTTATAGACATTGATTAAAATGTCTTGTGAGGCGTTGCTCATGCCGCTGTGAATGACGATATCTATGAGGGATATTATATTCCGAAAGGTCAATTACTTTTGTTCCCTGTAGCAGACAAGCTCCTTACTTGGGATTCCTTTTCAGGAGCTACAGTCATTGCAAATGCTTGGTTCGTTATGCGTCCGTAATACAACCCATTATTTTGTGTACTGATTGGCTAGCTTTACAGGGCAATATCGCAAAACGAAGCCAATTACCACAATCCCTCAGACTTCAATCCTCAGAGGTTTTTCACAGTCGATGGAAAACTCAACGATGACAAGGTCCTTTATGCATTTGGGTTTGGCAGGCGCATTTGTGTCGGCCGCCACCTAGCTGATGCATCACTATGGGCCGCCATAGCGTCTTTATTAGCTGTCTTTAAGTTTAGCAAAGCTTTGGACGAGCAAGGCAAAGAGATTAACATTGAACCACAATGGACAGCCGGACTCACAGCGTGAGTCTGATCTTATATCCAATCCACAGATGTTTCCTGAAGCTCATGATCCTTCCTGGCAGTCGTCCGTTTCCATTTGCTTGCAATATCCAGCCAACTATTACCATGGAGAAGTTGCATCAGATGATCGACCAGTTTGCTTGATGAATGCTTGGTGTTTCTAAATATTGTTTGAGCAAAAACAGTTTCTCTAGCACAGGCTCGTGTACTTATAACATTTTAGTGTTTGACTGCTGCGGTGAGACGTGTTCGTGCCAGGTCCCTCTTCGTTGTCTTTCAGTTTGGCGGAAAGAGCCAGCTCAAAATTTGACATACCATTGAGTGGACGCGGCTGAAGAAGCTTTAGTTGGCTTTTTCCAGTCGCATAGCGAGAATAGAATAGAAGGGTATAGTATAGACGAGGCAGAAGAGTTGCCAGGACTTAGCCTGTTCAAATTCACTTACGTCTCTAGGTTTACATCAGATGCTTCGAAAAACGGGGATGCATTTCGAGTTCTGAAAAGGGGGATTACGCAAAGAATAAGGGAAAAGATATTCTGGAGGTTGGCAATTTCACTCTATTGCCTGGTCAAGGTTGACTTCGTTATATTCAGACTGATCATAGTCGCAAAATCCTTCTTCTTGAGATACTTTATATCTCTGTCGATGTGGGGATTTGAGTCTGCAATACTGCCCCAAGTAACGTGACCGGTTACTGTACTGAGTGTGCAGGAAGGTTAGTTCAGGCTAATGGAGACGACGTTGCAGTTATGTAAGGTAAGCGGCGTATTCGGTACATCTGTTGGTTCCAAGTCCGTTGGACATTGCCGACCCAGGGCCTCTTACTTCCATTCACCACGCTCTCGAGTACTTTCTGAGTACAAACCTGATTGGGGACGAGGATGTCAAAACCCTGCAAGCAGGCCAGCGATAAGACGTGTTTCGTTACCTCATGTATGTCAAACACCTCCCTGAACAACAGAAGTCTCAAAGTTGAGTGACCATCTGTGCACCTGGTAAAATATTGAAACTAAAACCTGCACATATTATCTAGATGGCGGAGAAACACCAATTCTCAAAATTTGTTGAACGCAATGGGTGTATCACACGAGCTGTCAATCAGTGGCGATTACAGCACAAGAACAAACACCTTGATGCGTAATGAAGACCCATTGTAGTATAGAAGGTACGAGCGTGAGCAAAGTAGAAGGTGGATTGAAACGAAAGTACGGTATATAAGCTATATCTACTTTGCATGATATTATTTTGACTTCCCTTCCCAGTGCAATCGCCATGTTTGAAGTAGATCCACGTTCGATTACTGTTATTCTTGTCTTAGCTGCTCTATTCATCTCAAGGCGTGCAATACGAAAAGCAGCAACCAACAGTGGGAAGCCACTCCCTCCTGGTCCTCCACCGCTGCCTATTGTGGGGAATGCACTTGCAATTGACGCTGCTGCGCCATGGAAGGCTTACATGGAATGGGGTAAAACCTATGGTATGGTTTCTTTTTCTATCGTGGATCTATCTTTTCATTGAGTGACTTTTTCCACCGATCAAAGGCGATCTTATATATACCCGTCTTCTCAGTCAGGATGTCGTGGTTATAAATTCAGAGAAGGTCGCAAGAGATCTTCTAGATAAGCGTTCATATAACTATTCAGATAGGCCTCTCCTTGTTACAACGGAACTGTGAGTGCCTTCTTCCACACACGGAAAAGCTACCTAATCGCTTCCCATAGCTTTGGTTGGATGTTCAACGTGGCGTTGTTACGCTATGGCAATGGATGGAGACAGCATAGACGGTTGATGCATGATAAGCTACGGTCAACTGCAGCACTTACCTATCGTCCTCTGCAAATGCGCAAGGCACATCAGCTTCTGGTTGATTTGTACGAAGCTCCTAATGATTTTGTGCTTCACTTGCAGACGTAAGCAATTTGGCTTTGTGATCTGGCAGGGACCAAAACAAACTTACAGCGTGCGAACTTCAGAATGGCGGCCTCCACTATCATGTCAATCACTTATGGGTATGAAACTCAGCGTCGTGACGATCCGCTCGTTGCTCTCGTTGGGAATGCTCTTGTGCAAGGTCTCAAGGTTATGACGCCTGAAGCGGCAGCTATCCTTGGTACCTGGCCTTTCCGTAAGCCTGCTCAAAATGACATGCAGGAATTTTTTGGAATGTAATGCCACCCTATTCAGTTTTATATCTTCCCTCTTGGTTTCCTGGAGCAGGGTTCAAAAAACAGGCACAGGAGTCTTGTATTATGGTGAATGAGATGATAGAGAAACCATTTGAGTATACAGCATCGCGCATGGTGAGTTTCTCAACTATACAATCATGAGTCTCGTTTCATTCCGAGGTACCGTAGGCTTCAAACGATGCTACAGCGTGCATGGTTTCCGATCTACTCGGCCAAATCAAGGGTAAAGATAACTATGATGGACTTGAAAGAGTGGTTAAAAATGTCGCGTCTACTTCATTTGCGGGTGAGGATTGCATCTTTTGGTTATTGACGGTCGCAATATCTCATCATGCTTATAGGGGGGTCAGAGACTGTTGGTGTTTTTCATGTTACTATACTATCAATTACATTTCAAAACCAATTATTTTCAGACAACCTCCACGTTCGTCAACTTTGTCCTTGCAATGGTCCTTTATCCGGATGTCCAAGAGCGGGCGCAAGCAGAGATCGACTCGGTCATGGATGGGAACAGGTTGCCTAACTTCGACGACCGAGATTCCTTGCCGTATGTAGAAGCTATACTTCGTGAGTCGTTCAGATGGCACCCTGTGTTTCCACTGGGTGAGTTTTGTGCATGATTGGATGTGCTCCTGACACTGATGTAAGCTCCAATTAGGTGTCGCTCACGCAGCAGTGAGCGATGATATTTATGAAGGCTATCACATCCCGAAAGGTTAATCATCAGTCTATCCCATAGCAGACAAAATACCTAACCTTGAATTTCTTTTTAGGAGCCACAGTCATTGCAAATGTCTGGTTCGTCTTACTAACACATTCTCTCGCTTTATATGTTGATCAGCCAGCGCTGTACAGGGCAATGACACGGAACGAAGCCAAGTATCCCAATCCCTCGCAATTTAAACCTGAGAGGTTCTTCACCAGCGATGGCAAGCTTAACGATGACAAGGTCCTTTATACATTTGGATTCGGCAGGCGCATTTGTGTCGGTCACCACGTAGCTGATGCAACGGTGTGGGCCGCTATAGCCTCTTTGTTGGCTGTTTTCAAATTTACCAAGGCTTTGGATGGACAAGGCAAAGAGATTGACATCGAACCACGATGGACAGCTGGGATAGCAGTGTGAGCATGAGCTTTTATCTGATCCGCCCATGTCTCCTGAAAGTCATAATCCTTCCTGGCAGTCGTCCACTTCCGTTTGTTTGTAATATCCAGCCACGCTCGCCAGCTCTTACCCTGCAGAAGTTGCATCAGATGATCGACCAGTTTGCTTGATGAATGTCTAGTGTTTCCAAATATTGTTTGAGCTGAAAGTAGTTCCCTTAGCACAGAGTCATGTATTTTTTCATATAACAATAACGACATTGTATCTCTTGACAGGTCTGTTGATCTTCCACATTATTCAACTGTCACACCTTGAGAGCCTTAAAGTAGGCGGATAATAGACACATGTCATGCATGTCATGACTGGAAAATGCGTACAGCCACGCCTCATTCGGCCAACAAATAAACTGAATTTCAGGTGGGTCATGTGACTGCCCCTGGGAATCCGAGTGAACCTTCGCTTAGATATTCGTGATGGCACCGATAAGATCATCACACTGCAACCATCATGGATCCTCAAGTTCAGCAAGCGAACTGTGGCCATCAATGTAGATTCCTCACCATAGTTACTACTGTCCTTGCTCAAGTTGTGTACTACTATAAACACATATTTCTTTCTACTACTGTGCCCATCCCGTACCATACTTCATTACTGACTGAGGTCTGGGTCTGTGAGCTAATGAATGGACATCCAGACCAAATCCGGCACAACCTTGGAGTCAGCCTCGAGGTTTTCAAACTTTTACTCACCAGCTTACGCCAAAATGGCTTTACGATATCACGCAATGGAGTTGTGCTTGAGGAACAGCTGGCTATTTTTTTATATGGGTCTGTGACAGGATTATCTACCTGCCATCTCGGAGAACATTTCCAACGTTCACCAGAGACCATATCCTGGTATGTGTTTCAACTCTCATAGCAACGTCATTGACATACAAATAAATCCAGATATTTGAAAAGATTACTCCAGTTTTTCTCATCTGTGCCATTCTACACAGAATATGTACAACTTCCTGATGCTCAGACCCCAGTTGCCAACAAGATTTGCCTAGAGCGGAAATTCCAATTCTTTGCAGATGTGCTCGGTGCTGTAGATAGTACATACATTCAAGTCACAGCCGCCAACAGAGCCGACCATGCTACATTGCGCAACTGCAGGGGCTTTTTATCACAAAACTGTCTATTTCTCTGCAACTTCAACTTTTTCTTTACATACTCACTTTGTGGTTGGGACAGATCCATTGCAGACACATCGCTGTGGAATGACTCCCAAAAACATGACCTGCGTATGCCTGTTGGCAAGTATCTGCTTGCAGATGCAGGCTTTGGCACTTGTGACACACTTATTGTGCTTTACCATGGTGTTCATTATCATTTAAAAGAGTGGGCTCAAACAGGTTCAATGTGAGTACAATTTATTCTTTATTTTGCTACTTGGACGTATATACAAAACAGTCCACAAAACCACAAGAGCTTTTTGATTTGCGGCATGCTATGCTGCACAACATTATTGAGCGGATCTTTGGGGTTCTCAAACGTTGATGGCGTATCCTTCAAATTCCACCCGATGTCATGCACCAAAGTTGATTGGTAGCATGGACAGGTGTCAATAACGAAGTGAATATTCAAAAAGACTCGCCTTTGTGCCACGTGGAATAGTAATTAATATTGCCTTTTTCGAACTTGTGGCTGATCAGCACCACCTCTATTAGGCAATCCAGTCACGCTCACCTTTGCTTTTCCATTTGGTACTTTCCGCGTTTCGGCATTTTGGCAAATTTTTGCGTCGCCACTGGCTACACATTGCATTGCGCCCTTGCTTTTGTCGTTTCCTTCACTTCCCTTCCTTTGCCTAGCCCCACCATGGGCCCCTTACTCTCGTTTTTATTCTCACCCGACGGTCGTTTCTGGATCCCCATTTTAGTTCACCTCCTCGTCACCTCCAGCCTCCTCCTCCTCATCTTCTTTGCTCCCCCACCATTTCTGATGTCACCACTTCCTATCCGCTTCCGTCGCCGATCTGTTGACTATCACGTGCCACTGCTGATATCAGCAAAGCCCCAGCGGCCGGTTCAAATAGGGCAACAGGTCCATCTTTATGACGTCGATCTACCATCATATACTATCAAAACATCGGTCACTTGTCTTGCCTGGTTGGAGCATGGGTGGGTAGTTTTTGAGCTGGAGAAGGTTCATCCCCTTGCGTTGCCCATGTTCATCGCTGTCCCATTCACTTGGGTACACTTATCTTTTGTCCATCGTCTTCGCTACAGCTACACCTACCACACGCTGCCTGGGACTCACTTGTTCCAAATTGGAACTACTCCTCTCCCTCCCTCGTTTGATCAGGTGGTCCAACACAACCAGTCCATTGGTAAGGCCATGGAACTGTCGGATTTGGACTAGGTGGTGGACCAGTGGCTCCAGTTTCTTTTTTTTTCAGCAGAACATTCATTTACAGTGCAATTATTTTTGATTTTTGAATCATTTTTATGGACACATATTTTTTTAGAATGTCTGACTGACAATAAAGGAACTGTGTTGATACTGATATTGTTTTTCTTTATCCTTTTTTTTACTGCATCTTCCCATGACATCATGATTTTCTTGCTCTCTTTCTGTTTTTGGACTTTATTTTATGGCTGTACAAACTGTAAGGACCATTTCATTATTTTCTTATCTTCGCTATGTCTTGGTTCTCGAACGCTTTTCCCGTTACACCTCTGGCTCTAGGGCTAGAGGTATCCTTTGCTGTTCTACTTCTCATAGCCCTCACAGGCTTTCTTAACCATCACTACCATTTTATATCACAGATCAGAGACTGGGTATTGCTCCCAGCCAGCCAGCACACTGGGTAAGGACTGGTAGTAGACATCTCGCCAACCAGCTCCAAGCCCCAGTAAAGCCTGGTTATACTAATAAACACCTTATTCAGGATCGTACCTTATTATGAGGATACGGTTCCTGAACACGCGTGACAATCCTCTATTATTAGTACAAATCTCTCACCTGCTGATTAATCAAGTTAAAAGTCGTACAATAGTTACTCTCCCTTTTTCTTATTGGTCGATTGATTCCTCAGACCACTTTTCGTATATTCTCCTTTCGGTCTGAGGAACGAACAGTTCACTATATAAAGCCTTACCTATTCATGTATGGCTCCTTAGTTTTCTATTACTGAATTTACCTGCTTTACTCCTCAACAAGAACCTTTGAAGCTTACCTCTCAAAGTCCTCTACCCGCTATATTAACTAGCGTCTGTCGACCTCAAGCTCATTGAACCCCTTACTCCCTGCAAGTGCAGAAGGAGACAGGTTTCGTTTTTGTTATAGTTCATCGTTGCCTCACACAAACCTGTGACATTACTTACACAGCGTTTATTGTTCTATCTCTTTCTTTTCCTTATTTTGACAATCTTATCCTGTACTATATACGCAGGATTTGTCAGCATACATTCCTTCCTTCATGTTCTTTCTCATTCTTTTTGCACAGCTATACTGTGCATAGTCTCTCTTTCTTTTACTATATAAACCCCTGTATTCTACCTTGTAAAAAAAACAAGAACTCCAATCCAGACTTCTTCTCTAAATCTCAAGTTCACTACTCTGCTACTTGTGATCCAGTGTGGTCACAACAATTCCCACTGCTACCACTGTTAACTGCTGTCATTGTCACTCGTCACTTTTGAAAGTCATTGTCATCCCTTTTGATTAGAGTCCTTCTGAGCACTACAGTTTGTGCGTCAGGAGCCTGCTATCACTGGGAACCTTGTCACCTTGTCATCTTGTCATTCTCAAACCTACCTTGTGCTACAGTTAGCAAGGTAGTGCTTGTCCATACTCATCACTAAGCCCCTATCTTCTATAATTCAACTATCCCTTCTCCTCAAAACCCACACCCATACATCACTGGGTTTTACTTTGAAGGATTGTCATACATACCACCCCACAAACAACCAGACCACTCCACTATTCTAGGAGGCAAAGCCCATACACAAGTTCTGTGGAATCTGGGAGGATTGTGTGTTAGTTTGTTTTGTGTGTGGTTTTCTAACTACAATTCTCATCATCGACACCGAGTGACAGTTTGCATATTCAGGCCCACATCCCCTCAGCTTTATGTGCTCTGCACAGTTTCATCCACCAGCATGACCCAACATATCTCTTGCAAGAGCTAAACGACAACAGTGACAACTGGGAGGATGATGGAGGCAGTTGGGATGGTGAAGACAATGAGGGGCTAGCAGCTGGGCCAGCCAACCGCAAAGAGCGAGAGAGGGCTGATGCTTGATGCAACAGGATTGCAGAGGAAATGTGGGCTGATAGCGTAAAAACATATGAGAACCAATGGGAGAAATGAAGGATAAACATTAGAAAGTGTCCATATGAAAATGTAAGAAAAAGCGAGTCATATCCTGCCAGTCCGATGTCCAGACAGTTCCATACCATGAGGGACAACTCCTATATTCCATAAAAGGAAAGGGGTAGTTGATCTGTGGACAGTCATAATACTCTGGAGTCCATGTGGAGTCTTGCACGTGTGTGAGTGCTGAGTTAGCTCCTCGTCCAACGGGTCCAAAGTCCGAAAAGTGCGGACCCTATATGTCTGCAAACACGGACTCTAGGTGTCCGCAAACGTGGACTCTATGTATCCGCAAACATGGACTCTGCGGACTGTTGTGTATCAATGCATGGTTTGTCATAGAACTGGATTGATATGTTGGGAAATAAAGGGATTACTATGCCAACGTCTAAGTCAACTCTACACCGAGTCAACTTTCTCTGAATCCAAATCTCCCTGGCACCTTCACTCTGTAAATAGTAATACGCTGCTGCATCAGCCTGATTCATTGTAAAGTACTTGGTAAGGTCAACCTTATCTACATCAGACAAATTAAAAGACACCCTTTGTGAGCTCTTCAACCAGGTCTGTTATCTTTTTCAATGCTTCTGAGCCTTCTTGCTGGGCTTTTGCTGTTGCTGTCATTGGATGGAAAACACTTTGAGCTGCTTGCAACAGAGCCACCTCCAGAAGGTGGAGATCTAGACTCACTACTCTCGACTGCACTATGCTTCCGCTTGGAACAGCTTACACTTATAATGTGAGACCCGGAGTCCTCATCTGTGGCAATGAATGATGACGGAACTGAGGGTGGGAGTGTGCTGGGATCCACAGCACTCCTGGTTGGAGATGACAACAAGAGTTGGTGAGGAGAGGCGAACACACCAGAAGAAGGCGGTGGTACAAATGCAGAAGGGATAGGAGCAGCAGCAAGTAGTGCCGCCAGTGCTCTAAAGCTCTAATAATAGTATTTCCTTATTGTAAATTTGATAGTTGCACCCTGTGGGCGACAAACTATGCGATAAATAGGCACAAGGCCTCCAAAGATCATCAGGGCATTTGATTGATAGAACAGCCCCAGTAGCAAAATCAGAAGAGTCGGTTTCTAGCCGGAACTCTTTGTCTAAATCTGGAAATGCTAATATGGGCGCTGTTGTAAATGCCTGTTTAAGCTTACCAAAAGCTTCTTGTTCTTTGGCACCCCAGTGCCAGACAATGTCCTTTTTAGTAAGATTGTTCAACGGTCTCATTATCTTTGCGAAGTTTTCAACAAACTTTTGGTAAAAATTGCCTAAGCCAAGGAAGGCCCTAACTCCTTTGATGCGAGTAGGTTTGGGCCAATCCAAAATAGCTTGAACTTTCTCAGGATCCATCCTGATTCTGTTCTGGCCAATTATCATACCAAGGAAGTCTACTTCCTTTACTTTAAAGTTACATTTTTTGGGTTTGACGAATAGGTCTCGTTCCTGTAAGCGTTGAAGGACTTCTTGCACGATCCTGTCATGCTCAGCCTCATTGTCCAACTTTGTAAATATTAATAAATCGTCAATGTAAATGACAACACAGTCCTCCATATCCGCAAAGATCTCATTCATCATGCTCTGGAAGGTTGCCGGTGAATTGGTCAACCCAAAGAACATAACAAGGGGTTCAAAGGATCCTCGGTGGCACATGAACGCGGCGTTCCAGGCATCCTCCTCTTTGATTTGTACATCATTGTACCCCCATCTGAGATCCATCTTTGTTAAGATCTTGGTGCCAGCCAATTTATCTACTAGCTGACTGATCAAAGGCAGCGGATACGCTGTCGAAGATGAGAACTGCTGTTAGAAAACCACACACAAAAAACAAACTAACACACAATCCTCCCAGATTCCACGGAACTTGTTTATGGGCTTTGCCTCCTAGAACAGTGGAGTGGTCTGGTTGTTCGTGGGGTGGTACATATAAAGATCCTTCAAAGTAAAACCCAGAGGTGTATGAGTGTGGGTTTTGAGGAGGAGGGATAGTTGAATTTATAGAAGATAGGGGCTTAGTGACGAGTATAGATGAGCACTACCTTGCTAATTGTAGCACAAGGTAGGTTTGAGAATGACAAGGATGACGAGGTGACGGGGTTCCCAGTGATAGCAGGCTCCTGACGCACAAACTGTAGTGCTCAGAAGGACTCTAATCGAAAGGGATAACAATGACTTCAAAGTGGGAAGTGACAATGACAGCAATTAACAGTGGTAGCAGTGGGAAGTGTTGTGACCACACTGGATCACAAGTAGCAGAGAGTAGTGAACTTGAGATTAGAGAAGAAGTCTAGATTGGAGTTCTTGTTTTTTTTATACAAGGTAAAATACAGGGATTTATATAGTGAAAGAAAAGTAGGCTATGCACAGTATAGCTGTGCAAAAAGAATGAGAAAGAACATGAAGGAAGGAATGTACGCTGACGAATCCTGTGTAGGTAGTACAGGATAAGATTGTCAAAAAAAGGAAAAGAAAGGGATAGAACAATGAATGCTGTGAGTAATGTCACAGGTTTGTACAGCCATAAAGTAAAGTCCAATAGCAAAAAGAGAGCAGGAAAATCATGATGTCATGGGAAGATGCAGTAAAAAAAAGGATAAAGAAAAACAATATCAGTATCAACACAGTTCCTTTATTGTCAGTCAGACATTCTAAAAAAATATGTGTCCATAAAAATGATTCAAAAATCAAAAATAATTGCACTGTAAATGAATGTTCTGCTGAAAAAAAAAGAAACTGGAGCCACTGGTCCACCACCTAGTCCAAATCCGACAGTTCCATGGCCTTACCAATGGACTGGTTGTGTTGGACCACCTGATCAAACGAGGGAGGGAGAGGAGTAGTTCCAATTTGGAACAAGTGAGTCCCAGGCAGCGTGTGGTAGGTGTAGCTGTAGCGAAGACGATGGACAAAAGATAAGTGTACCCAAGTGAATGGGACAGCGATGAACATGGGCAACGCAAGGGGATGAACCTTCTCCAGCTCAAAAACTACCCACCCATGCTCCAACCAGGCAAGACAAGTGACCGATGTTTTGATAGTATATGATGGTAGATCGACGTCATAAAGATGGACCTGTTGCCCTATTTGAACCGGCCGCTGGGGCTTTGCTGATATCAGCAGTGGCACGTGATAGTCAACAGATCGGCGACGGAAGCGGATAGGAAGTGGTGACATCAGAAATGGTGGGGGAGCAAAGAAGATGAGGAGGAGGAGGCTGGAGGTGACGAGGAGGTGAACTAAAATGGGGATCCAGAAACGACCGTCGGGTGAGAATAAAAACGAGAGTAAGGGGCCCATGGTGGGGCTAGGCAAAGGAAGGGAAGTGAAGGAAACGACAAAAGCAAGGGCGCAATGCAATGTGTAGCCAGTGGCGACGCAAAAATTTGCCAAAATGCCGAAACGCGGAAAGTACCAAATGGAAAAGCAAAGGTGAGCGTGACTGGATTGCCTAATAGAGGTGGTGCTGATCAGCCACAAGTTCGAAAAAGGCAATATTAATTACTATTCCACGTGGCACAAAGGCGAGTCTTTTTGAATATTCACTTCGTTATTGACACCTGTCCATGCTACCAATCAACTTTGGTGCATGACAACGCATTTTTAACCGTGTACTTATTTAAGTAGCAATAGTCCATAATCATGCGCTTCTTACCATCTTTTTTAGGAATAAAGAACACTGGGGACATCATAGGGCTCTTGGAAGGTCTGATGTAACCCTTCCTAAGCTGTTCTTCTATGAAACTTGAAACCTCATATCTTTCTGGAGCAGAGAGGAGAATCATGTGTCTTTTTCTCGGTTTGAAGGTGTCCTTCAAATCTATAGCATGGTCCCAAGGCTTAGCCTCTGGGAAGCGCTCTGATTTGTGATTTGAAAAGACTTTCCAGAAGTCATGGTACTCTGGAGGTACCAGCCTCTTGATCTCTTCCTCAGGTTTTCCCTTGTCATTGTCATTGTCAATCTTATCTAAAGATCGGAGCTTGGCATAAATGTGACCAGTGTTTATCCTTTCATCCAGCTCTGTTTGACGGACATGACTCAGTTTACCCAAGTCATCACACTCCTGAGGACAACGTGACAATGTGACAACCCCTGTCTGCCAGTCAATCTCAGGATTGTGTTTAAATAGCCAGGTCCAGCCTAAGATTAAATTAATCTTCCCTAGTTGGGTAGCTTTGGCGGTGACTCGTTCTCTGTGTCCTTGGTACTCAACAATAAAAGAACATTTGTGCATAATGCAGCCACCCACATGAAGCGTACCATCAACGTTATAGACGGGAATAGATACATCTAATTTTACCAGGGGGAGTCCAATTTGCTCTGCCCAAACCTGATCTATGAAGATTCTGTTAGCGCCTGAATCAAGCAGTGCACTGGTTGGGTGTACTATGCCTCGGGCAGGGTTTTCCACACCAACATCTAAACAGATCTCCTTTTGGAATATATATGTGCACATCAACACACGCCTTGGGATTTCGGGGAAGGGTGGCTCCAAAGAAGAAGAAGAATTGAGAGAAACATGTTTTTCTACTTTAATATTTTCTATGTTTTTATTTTTATTTTTACCAGAATCAAGCACCCTAGTAATTGTCTTGCCGGGGCCACACTCAGAGGGAGATGCTGGTGCAGCGGTAGTATCATAAATATTACAGTCACAATTCTTCATACAAGTACATGCTTCAGATAATAGATTTAGAAACTTATTTACAAATAGGGGAGCCACCCTCTTTCCTTTATTGCTCGTGCAACACCCCGGAGCAGGGGCTACCTTGTTGTGGTTTACTTCATTGTTCAGTGGAGCAGAGGCACCCAAGTGACCTAAGCTCCAAACTCTTTTCCCTGAGCTTTCATTTTGTTGACCTGCTGGTCATAGAAGAAAGCTTGGATTTCGTCGTATGAACAACCGGCCAGAGTATTGAGCTGATCATCTGGCTTTTCAGTTTCTAATTGGCACGCCTGGCGCCCTTGGTTATTTTTTTGTTGGGCATCCTGCGCCCCGTTTCTGCAATCTCGGGACATGTGCCCCTCTTGGCCACAGTTGTAACAGTTGCCCTTGAATCTGTGCATCTGTCCACCTTAGACCGCGCAGATATCCATAGGAGCACCCTGTCCTGGCTGCAGCCCGAACGGCTTGAACCCGTGAGAGTGATTATGGTGATTTGATGACCCAGGGTGCCTCTGGGATTGGTTGTTTTTGGTGGTGGGCCCACCACCTTGGTGCATAGCGTAGAGCTCCATGGCTCTACCGACTTGTTGGACTTCCTCAGCTGCCAGGGCCAGGTTGTCGCTCTGTATATCCTGCAGATAGATCTGCTCAGCAATGTGGGGGTTTACATTGCATTCTAGCAGCTCTACTGCATGTTCATTTCCAAGCCCTCCTTGGATAGAGAGAGCCAGGAACCAGGTGATGTAATCATCCGTCCTCATGCTTCCTTGCTTGAAGGAACAAATTTGCTGACGTGCCCAGTCACGCTCAGCTTGCGGTTTGAAATATTTTTTGATCTCTACTTTGAGATCGTCCCAGGTGGGCCACACTCCCACAGTGTAGCACTCCTGCAGTCTTACTTGGGTGTATCTACCCGCCACAGGTCCTTTTAGTCTTGATAGCACAGCAGTGGCTATCTCAAAATCGTCGGCAAACATGTCCCAGTTTGCCTTGATCCACCATTCAGCAAATTGAGCCCTGTCTCCTTTGAAAGTGCTGGGGTCAGCAACAATTTCGACTTTTTTGTTGAATTTTTGCTCAACCGTGGGTTCAGCTGCTGGGGCAGCCTGAATCTTGGTGAGCTGCGTAGTCAGTGACAGAATCTGTGCACACATGTTGTGCAACAGAGTATTCATGTCCTGCTGTTGGGGTTGCAACAACATGTCAACTTGTTCTCTTGTGTATGTAAATAAAAAAATGTAAATGGGGGTCCCCACTTGCTATCTGCAAATCTACCTCTTCCCAGCTGAGTAACGGGTCTCAATCCCCGACTACCCACACTATAGTATTTGAAAATGTATGTAAAGTTATAGTAGGAAACCCTGGTTCGAACGGTTGTCAGGGGGTGGTCCACTTGTTAAGCTGTCAACCCTTCTCCAGACTGGTGGAGGCAAGTGCCAGGCCTGGTCAGAGGAACACAAAGAAGAAGTTTTGTATTCTAAAACTGATCAACAGTGGTTCCACACCAACTGCTGAGTTAAAGTACTCCCCTTAACACTGGGGCCATGTGTAGATAATTGTCTCTTCTCCCAGAGCACCACAGGGCCGTCGCTAGGAGCGCACCCTTCTGCTATACAGGATATTCCCAAACAATAACCCCTTAACCCTGGGGACCGGGTTTGCACAAAGTGCAAGAGAATAGTAAGAGCAAGTCCTAATATAACAACCAAGAGTTTGTATACTCTGGCACACAACTCAGACAAAGCTATAAAGAAGCGAGGGGAGTGCTTACCCTTTAGATAGGACTGAGTTTGTTGTGGGTAAACAACAGGAGGACTCACTGAGGAGTCTCCTTGATCTATTGGGGTTTATATACTACTACAGGTTTGTTTGTACATATGTACTATACAGTTGATGAAGGCAGTGGCTGATGATGTCAAGGGCACAGCCCGTGTGACCAGCTCCACTGCGTGAGGGACTTGTAGCTATAATAAGAAGAAGGGCAGTGCAGCGCAAGAAAGAGGAGTTTGAACAAAAGAGAAAGTGCCGCATGGCACAATGTGAGAAAACTACAGTAGAAGGTTAAAGAGGAGAATGAAAATCAAAGGTCCGAAAATGTGTTATCGTAACAGCAGGACTTGATTGCCTAATACAGGTGGGTGTTGATCAGCCCCAAGTTTGAAAAGGCAATATTAATTACTGTTCCACATGGCACTGTGCCTGTGAGGCACAAAGGCGAGTCTTTTGAATATTCACTTCATTATTGACACCTGTTCATGCTACCAATCAATTTTGGTGCATGACTAATAAAACTAAGTGAAACTCAGCCGCTGCCCAAGAGGCTATAGAAACGACTGTATTATTTACCTAAGTGAAACTACAATGGATGTTAGTTTAAGGTGATCTCTAATAAATGTAATGTAACATACCTCAGCCGCTGCCCGAGAGGCTATAGAAATGACTGAGGTATTTCTATACTAAACCCCCTACTACTTAACCCCCTACTACTTATAGTCAGAGGTGCTACTCGCTACAGTATAATGACTCCATGGAGTGGTGGCTATGCCCCATGGAGAACAATGGCTGCTTCGGCAGAGACCGGGTTTATCTGGTTTTGTCACTCCCACTCGAGTGCAACCGTAGTCCCATAGCTTTAGAGAATTTCCAGTGTTTTTTGTGAGTGAGGGGTTTAGTGAGAATGTCGGCAACCATATCTCCTGTAGGAACATATCTGATTACTGTCTCTCCCTTTGATACTAAGTCATCTCGGATAAAATGATATTTCCATTGAATGTGTTTTGTGCGAGCACGGAACTGTGGATCTCGTGTAAGAATAATAGCTGCTTAATTGTCACAGTGCAATGTTGTAGGTCCATTTTGAGCATGTCCAATTTCTTCAAAAAAAGTCCAAAGCCATGCAAGGTGTTGTCCAGCATTGCTCAATCCAATGTACTCTGACTCCATGGAGGATAAAGCTACCGTGCTTTGTCTTTTGCTTGTCCAGGAGATTGCTCCTCGGATGGTGATAAAAACAAAGTGTCACGATCCTTATCTTTTACACCCAATACTTCACCTTTCATCTCTAACTCTGACGTAGAAACACTTATCTCTCCTTATCTTATCACGTAGTTTTCCTTATCTTATCTCCTTATCTCATCACGTGACCCAAGTCACATGATCACTTACGAATCATCTTACAAAGCTAAACACGATACATCCTCATGTCTATCAGTCAGCGCCTCATGGCTGACATGAGTTCTTACATATATAAGTAGACACTCAACGATGTACATACCTTAGCTTTTGATTTCGTCTTTATACACTTGTTCAACTACTTGCCAGAGATTGACGTTGAGTTGCCTGGTTTCTTCCAGTAGTGCAACTCAGTCGTTATATAATCAAAAGCTAGTAAAGAGCACCTAGTTGATGACTGAAACAAAGGCTATCTTAATCATCATCCTAACCCCCGTCATCATCATCCTATCCTTCGTCCTACTCAAACTATACATTCGCCTCACCACACCCCTCTCTCAAATCACATCACCTATCACTCGCCCATCCACTATAATCACTTTCATCCAATCATCACCATCCAACTCATCTTTCGAAACCATCCCTCTATCTCCTATCATCCGCCCCCACAATCCCGTACTTAGAGAGCTTAGTGACGTGGAGTCGCTAAGGTTCTATTAGCTACAAAAACTTCTTTATACTTCTTACCAGGCCGGGCATTTGCCTCCGCCAGTAGGAAGAGGGCTGACAGCGGTTAACGCGGGCCATCATCGAGACAACCGTTCGGACCTCGATTACGATACAATTAGAACACTGGTACCATATATAAATAGTTCACGTACACGCTTAGTGGGGACAGAAGAGGAACCCATAAGCAGAAGGAAAGACAGAAAAAGGGATCTTCATTAAAGAAGTGTTGATCCAGATTTGTCATCTGGGGAACCTTTTTTGAATGCCCTTCGCACCATATTCATATCAGATCCCGATCTTACCATATCCCGGACCGATCACATACCCCAGGCCGATCATAAAACAAGAAAGAATCACACCTACCCTATCATTCCTATCACCATCCCCTACATCATCCCTGAATGTCTTACGACACATATCGAGAGAACCCAGACATGGCCGAGAGCACCGACATGTCAGATTTGCGGGACGCGTTACCGCATATTCAGCCGCGCGTACCATCGCCGGCAACCAACCAGCAGCAGATGCAGAACCTGCAGAACATCATCCTGGCGGCGGTCAACAACGCGATCGCAGACAACAACGAATTATGGGAAGAGAGATTCTCATCAAAAGACGAAGAAGTCAGAGACTTGCGCAGAAGGCTCGCAGAGAGCGAAAGGAGGCAGCCTTCAGGGATGGGCCTGCCACGCGCACAAGAAGCAGAGTTTAGGAAAACAGCGTTAGCAAAGCCGGAACCCTACGACGGAGACAAGAAGAAGTTTCGAAGCTTCTCGGAGTCATTAGAACTCCATTTCAATGCCAACTCGGCATACTTCTCCCGAGAAAGGAACCGGATAAGCTTCGCCTTATCCTATATGAGTATAGGGGCAGCAGCAGCCCTGAGAACGGAATGGGTAGAGAGGAGGAAGATTGCAGAAGAAAGGTCGGATGCAGGGGAGATCACCCTCTTAGAGAGCTGGGCTCACTTTGAGAGGACCCTCAAAGACCATTTCACTGACACACACGAAGAAGAAAGAGCGAGGTATGAAATTATATACAAAAAACAAGGAACTCTAACGGCCCAAGAGTTCTTTGTAAAATTCGAAGAGTTGAGGAGACGGGCCGGCTACGATGTCAAACTGAGCGAACAATTCCTGATCACACTAATCAGGAATAACATAAATGGTCCACTGATAAAGCAGATCATTTATAGCGGAAACGTTCCCACAACATATATAGAATGGAAGACGAGGATCGTCACAAATGACCAATTGTGGCGAGACCAAGTAGAAAACGAGCGGATGTTGAAAGGATCAACCAGCGGCAGCTCCGGTACAGGGAACCGGGGACCCAATGGAAGATACCAAGAGAAGGGTGCTTCGGAGAGGAAGACCGAGACGGTGGAAGCGAAGAAAGACGGCACGGGTACACTATATACCGGAGCCGGAAAAGAGATGGAATTGGACAAGCAGAAGTTCCGATCCGAAGGACGCTGCTTCAAGTGCGGAGAGAAGGGCCATAGGGCCAGAGACCATCTAAACGGACAAATACCACAGAAACCGAAGTTCGATCTCCGAGCAATGTTAGAAGCAATGCCGGAAGAAGAACGAGCTAACTTGCTCCAGGGTTTTTAAGAAGGCCAGCTGCGACTCCTCGCCAGACTGTGCCAAAGGACTTTGTAAATAGATATAGTTGCCTACCCGTTGAAAATCTTGATGCATGTACCAGTAACGATGAAAATGATATTGCTTTATTCAAAGATGCACAAGATCTAAAACGAAAGGAACAATCTATTAAAGAGGAGAACCTGAAAGGGAAACGGGTTGAAAAGATTCCCAAAAATGAAGCGGCGCACTCGAAAGAGAAAGGCGCAGCACAGGAAGCGGCGCACGAGGTACCTAAAGGGGAAAGGGCCACGAAAAGCGCAGCAACAAAGGAGACAACTGAAGCACAGAATGTTACGACTCAATTGGGTAGTGTAACCGAAACTGATGCTTCGACCAGCTCCAAAGAGGTCAGGAATACCTCTAATAAAAACCTAGATAAAAAGAATCAAAAAACACCATGGACAGCTGCTTGGATAGCGGAAAGACTACGAGACCAAAAGGAAGAAAGATCTATTGGTATTCTTAGTAGTTGGACCCACAAGAAAAGAGGATTGGAAGTCAATGCAGATTTGATAAAAGAACTGAATGCTTTACCAATTCACGAAACGGTATTAGCACTGGAAGAACTGAAGAAGCCTAAACAATTCATTAGAGGCACTCAGGGAAACCAGATGAACATCACCTGCAGACTAACAAACCTTGCATCCCATCAATCAACGACGATTGAGGCATTACTAGACAGTGGCTGTACCGGAAGTTGCATAGATAACAAATTTGTTGAAGAACAGGGATATGAGAGACAGAGAATCCCTAGACCAATTCCAGTCTACAATGCTGACGGCACTCTAAACCGAGACGGCAGCATTAAAGAATTCGTAGAGATATTAGTGGAAATCAATAACCACGCCGAAAGACTCCAACTAGCCGTTACC